GGCTGCCCAGGGCAGTGGTGGAGTCACCATCCCTGGAGGGGTTCCAGAAACGTGTCGATGTAGTGCTTGGGGACATGGGTTAGTGGGTTGGGTGGTGTGGGGTTGACGGTTGGACTTGATCCTTGAGGTCTTTTCGAGCCTTAATGATTCTGTGATTCTATGATTCCACACTCCCAGAGAGATGTAGGTATGGCATTCAGCTTCTGCTTCTTTTCAGTTAGATCATGAGTTGTGGGATGGTAACTGCAGGGATCTCTGACTTGTCAGTAGAGGTTTGTCACATTCTCATGATCTCGCTAGTGTATCTCTGAGTTGAAATGGGAGCAGAGTTTCGATGATGCACTCACATTCTTGTGGAGTAGTTTCTTCCCTGGCTTCAGCTTGTAACCCTTATTGTGCAGTCTGGCAGCTTTGCTATGCATACAGCATCAGCTAACTTGTATTCTTTATTATCGTTATTTGTTTTCAAATAAATTTATTTATTTAATAATTATCGCTTTTTGTTTTCCTCCTTTTGTGAAGCCAAGAAGCCAGATCTAAGCTTTTATGAAGCATGCTGTTGTGATTATTGTCTCTGTATTCCCTGTTTCGTGGTGGTTTTGCTATGACAGCATTAGTAGCGTCAGTGTGTCTGTCACTGGAATTTGTAACTGAGTTCTGTGAACCTGGATGTCTGCTCTCACTGGGAATTGCATTCCGGTTTAGAGACAAGGCCATGAATCCTCTTATGAAAATCACTGTTACAGTGTGGTTTGATTTTGGTTTTCCTCATTATACTTCGTTTCGCCCTGAGGTTTTAGATTAACGCTTTGTTTAATGTGTGAAAGCCACAGCTCAATTCACTTGGAAGCAATAGCAAAACTTCCACTGACTTGGGTTAGATTTGAATTTCAATCCTTAAAAAATGTTGATGTGTCGAGACAATATCATGCTGGATGATGTGGTATTTTCCTTTTCAAGCACGGCTTCTTAGGACACATGGTTCTCCCATTTAATCACTCTTCAGTCCAAATGTGTTTGAGTTTTTTATTCCCTCTTTTTTTGATTTATTAAAAATATACTTGCATGGATTTTTGTTTGTAATACAAACTTTAGAGAAAATAATGAATGCTATATGCAGAAACTGTATTTACTTTAGCTATTTTTGATCACTTGCAGGTCTTGACAGCAAAAGAAAGAAAAACTCAGATAGATGACAGAAATAAATTGACTGAGCATTTCATTATTGCACTTCCATTGTTGCTATCAAAGGTACATTTTTCAACAAAGTAAATCTCTCACTGGTGTTTACAACCGTCTTTAAACTTTTTCATTCTGTAGTGTAGGTGTTTATTTTACTTCACTATTTTTATATTGTTTCAATGATGTTCTAGTACTCTGCTGATGCCGAGAAGGTTGCAAATCTCCTGCAGATCCCTCAGTATTTTGATCTGGAAATCTACAGCACGGGCAGAATGGAAAAGGTATAGTACATTGGGCAAGAAGTCTGGTTGCTTCCAAGTCTCTGATTACTATTCTGGTCAGACAGCACTGTGCCTTCATTTGGCATGCTAGTAATCTAACCTTGAATGGGTGTATTCCTTGAATTACTTTGTTTTTGAGTTTCGTTGTTCAGGTAAGGTGAAAGCTGAACTTCTTTTCTGATCTACAGCATCTGGATGCCTTACTGAAACAGATTAAGTTTGTTGTGGAAAAGCATGTGGAATCGGATGTTCTCGAAGCCTGCAGCAAAACCTACAGCATACTCTGTAGTGAGGAATATACAATCCAGAACAGAGTTGACATTGCCCACAGCCAGCTTATTGATGAATTTGTGGATCGATTCAACCATTCTGTAGAGGACCTACTGCAGGAGGTTTGTTTTCTTAAAATGAATTTAATTAGACTACCTACCATACATTATGATAAACTGCAGAAAAACATTCTTACCAAGTCATGAAACCCATCTGAAGATGTAGTTCAGCAGCAACTATTTCATAATTATTTGGAGCTCTTTCTCCATGTAGAAAATCCCTTGGACTAGACATTAAGCCTGCAAACCATTGATGCTGTAAAACACAGACCACGGAACAATCTTGCTTCTGAAAATTTAGTCTAGTATTTAAACAGTCTACGAAAGAAATTAAATAGATGAATGGGTGAAAGCTGATGAAAAATGCAGGGAAAGGTGCATTTACATTAATGCTTGTGGTGCTTCCAGTAGTTGCAAATCGATATGCTGCCAGAATCAAGACTGGATTATGCCTTGAATGGAAGAGAGGATTTAGTAAAATATTTATAACAGCATATTGAAAGAGCTCTGGAAAGAATGAAATAAAGATACAGGTCTGAAACCTGGAGGTACCTGGGTTTTACTTGTAAGAATTTATCCTTCAAAATGCATAAGACAGAATACATTAAATACGAATAGAAACCTCACTCATTTTTTCTTGCTTTACATCAATTTAATTTTCTGTAGCACTACTTTATTTGTTGTAATTCTCATGATTTTTAAACATAAGAGCTGCATGAATCTTTTTCTTCACTCTTCTAGTCATGCAGTGCACTGTGGCAGATACATTGAATTTTTGATGTACATTTATAGAAAGTTAAGCTGTAGTCTCTGTTTTAGACTTGCATGTTAAAGAAGATAAGCTTTTTTCTGTCTTTAAGTAATATGCCACATACAGGCATACTGAATATATGCCCCGTCACATTGCAGAGTAAATACATTTTTTTCTGTTGCTGTAGGAATGTACACGAGTAAAAAAGGCAGTGTATGCGGGAAGCCAGTGCTCCACAACCCAGAGGAGTTAGTGTGCCACTGTACGTTCTTTGATAGAATACATTTGCTTTGCTGTTTACCTGTCTGCCATTTTATGTGTACTTTCTCAGAAACTTCTGAGCAGAATCTGAAAAGACATTCCAGAATTTCTGCTATGTCTCTGCCCATCTGTGCATGGCAAGGGAATCCTTTCAGCTAATGCCACCTGACGTGTCTTGGCTCTCTGTTTTTATAGCCATGGATTTTTTAAGCACCTCACCTCACCAAAAACTCTGAGACAAAAACCTTGGGGAATCTGTTGCTGACTTAGGTAGCAAAAAGGGCTAACGTTGGACCAGCGCAAACATCCACCTTCAGAACCAGCCAAGTTCTCCACATCAGATGTCCAGCAACTCATCCCCATAAAGAGTGGCCTTCACTTTCCATCGGCACCCACTGACAGAGGTTTAGGAACTCGGGTGAGGTCCTCACGTTTTTCACTATCCACACATCCAGCACCAGGATTCAGTCTGGCTCTGTATGCAGGGACCACTCTCCTTTGTTGTTTCTCCAAGCCTAGCTCTTGGAGAATCTTCAGCTTAAGTCTCCGCACCCAAGTTCAGGTCAGCAAAAAGCGTCTCATTCACACTGCCTTGCCTCCAGATGGAAGAAAGTACCTATAGGTTTTTTCAAGAATCAAAACAAGAAGCAAGTGGAATCCCAGTTTCTGGACACTGACTTGCCATGTCTGTTACACTGCCTTGTTGTGAGACATTATGAAAATATCTCCTTTCAGCTCTTTCTCGTTTTATAGAATCACAGAATCATTAAGGCTCGAAAAGACCTCAAGGATCATCAAGTCCAACCGTCAACCCCACACCACCCAACCCACTAACCCATGTCCCCAAGCACCACATCCACACGTTTCTGGAACCCCTCCAGGGATGGTGACTCCACCACTGCCCTGGGCAGCCTGTTCCAATGCCTGAGCACTCTTGCAGTGAAGACATTTTTTCTAATCTTCAGCCTAAACCTCCCCTGGCGCAACTTGAGGCCGTTTCCTCTTGTCCCATCACTTGTTCCTTTAGAGCAGAGCCCAGCACCCCCCTCACTGCCCCCTCCTTTCAGGCAGCTGTAGAGAGTGATGAGGTCTCCTCTCAGCCTCCTCTTCTCCAGACTGAACCCCCCCAGCTCCCTCAGCCGCTCCTCATCAGCCCTGTGCTCCAGACCCTTCCCCAGCTCCGTTGCCCTTCTCTGGACCTGCTCCAGCCCCTCAATGTCCTTCTTGTGGGGAGGGGCCCAAAACTGACCCCAGGATTCAAGGTGCGGCCTCACCAGTGCCGAGTCCAGGGGCACAATCCCTGCCCCGCTCCTGCTGGCTACACTATGGAAATTCTTGGAAATTCTCCAAAGCAAGTGCCATGTTTGTGCTCTCTGGGGACAGTTGTGTAGCAGCCACTGTAACAAACAGAAATTAGGTCTCTTCTCTGTGACATCCAGTGACAGGACAAGGGGCAATGGGTTCAAGCTGGAACATAGGAGGTTCCACTTGAATATGAGGAAAATCTTCTTCACGGTGAGGGTGACAGAGCACTGGAACAGGCTGCCCAGAGAGGGTGTGGAGTCTCCTTCTCTGGAGACATTCAAAGCCCGCCTGGATGCGTTCCTGTGTGATCTGATCTAGGTGTCCTGCTCCGGCAGGGGGATTGGACTGGATGATCTTTCGAGGTCCCTTCCAATCTCTGACATTCTGTGATTCTGTGACACGCAGCTTTTTTGGAAGAGCCCCCTGGAAGTTTCCACACTGTTCAGCTGTGTGCTCATCCGTGCATCTATGCAGGGCTCCGAGGTGGTGTGCTGTTCCCTGGATGGTTTCACCCACGATCCACTCACTATTTTGTTAGCATTGCTGAGACACCGACAGGTCATTCTTTTTCAGCCAGAATCCCAAGCTCAGTTAGCCAGTACAGGAACACTCCTGCTGTACAGCCGCTGCTCTTTCTCTGACGGACCCATTCTCCTCCCTGCAGCAGCTCTGAAGAGGAGTCGAGGCAAGAACCAGTCCTCTAGTTCTGTCAGCAGCTTTTCTGTCATCCACATACCCTTCTGGAAGCCAGCAGTCCCATTAGTGTCACATTTGGTTCACTCTCGCGTCGGTCTCTTGTTCTGGGATCTCTGGTGTGAGGAGATCCCGTGCTGGCCTTCCCTTTGCACCTCACAGCCCCCAGCCGTGTGTTTTCAGAAGTCCTTCTTGGGGAGTCCTCTTCCACAGGCAGGGTGGTCTCTGGGCCTCAGAGAGCTGTGCTGCAGCACGACAATCAGCAAAGGTGAAAGGAGGCTGGAAACCTGCCTCTCTCCCGCCCCAGCCCGTTTTGGATCAGGTATGCCAGTGAAGCACAGCTGGCGCAGTCCAGCTGTTCTAGACTAGAGGCACGTGGGTGCTGCGGGAGTTCAGAAAACACACTCCGTATTTTCGGTGTGCTGCATGGGTCTGCAGCCTTCTCTTCTGCTTTCTGCCACTGCTTGATAGATCTCTCCAGCCTCACCTTTACCCAAGGGGAATCGGGTAAGAGCAGTGAGATGCTGGGGTTCGTAAACAACTTCCCACCGGTCTTCTCGGGAGAAATGAACTAGAGGAGAAAAACTTTTTTCCTGCAGTTTTCCTTTATTACTAACTGCTGTTGAATCAGGAAGCCGGTAGCTGCTTATTCCCGCTCCGTTTCCCTTCCCCTCTCTGTACACAGTACTCATGCAAAAAGCCCTGAAGGGTTCACTGGAGCTGCTGGGCAGGGAGCAAAGACTGGGCTCGTGCACGAACATGGGCCAGTGATACCAAAATACTTGTGATGTGTGCCCTTCCGTCACCCAGCTGGGGAAGGAGTGGAGAAATGCAAGTGAGGGCTTGTGATCTTTGTGTGTATTCACTTGCATGGGAGAGGGATGAGGACGGAGGATTATAAAGAAAAGCTGTGTCTGGAAGTCTCATGAGAAGTGAAGAATTAAGAGGTTTAAATCTCTAAGGAAAAGGGAGTGTGGAGGTCAGACGTGTCTTAGAGAAAGGTGCAGAGACAAAACCAAGGCAAAAGTAGGAGAAAGTAAGAAAGAAGAGTGGTAGCAAGGATTTGAAATTTTGGCCTTTGTGATACTCTTTGCTGGGTGATGCTAGGTGGAATAATTAATTTTAATAAGTCTATTTCATAATTTAAAAGATATTTTACATTAAAAAATGCACATACTTGTACCCCAGCAAGTATCCCACTGCTTTGTGGCTTCCCCCTAGGTTGATAATGAGAGAAACATTGATTGACAATTGCATCTGAAGGCAGAAAAATGTCTTAATTGTTGGGCTTTTAGATGGAAAAATATGATCAAAATGAAATGGAGAAGAATCATTGTAAGTGGGTTTCTTGTTTCAGAAAGTTGCTGGAAAAAATAAGTTTTGAAAGTACCTCATTTCCACTTGTTTCGCTAAGAGAATTTGCTGTTCGGTTTGCGTAACATTTTAGGATAATGATATTTTAAAATGCCAAAAAGATAAAATTAAATTTAAACTAAAAGTTTGGATTTAATTGTGCAATATTCATTCTTGGACTGTTGATTCCTCAGATTTGTAAAATCTAAATTTAAAAAAACACCTTCCAGTTAGGAGTGTGTGTCAGTCTGCACACAGGATGCAGTTGCCGTGCCTTGCAGTGTGTAATGCAGTAAGCAGCGTGAAAACAGGAGAAGAAAGCAATTTTTCCACTCATCACTTCAAAAAACTTGCTGTTGACATCTGCAGGTTTCTGGTGTGGAGCAAAGCAAGCCTTTGGCTTTACTCATGTAGCGTGTTCGTCAGCTGATGGTGAAACTGCAGTTCAGTCCTTTTTGTAAAAGGCAGAACTCAGATTTTATTCTTGGGAATGACCTCTGCTGCTGGAGGATACTGCTTTGAGTATTAACACGGCAGTACTGCTGGGTGTTGTCAGGTGATCTTGCCCATTTCCTGGTGACATGCAGTAATTATTTAAATATTATTATTATGGAATCTAGATGAAAGTATTTGGAAAATTTGGGATCAGTTTTGGTGTCAACATAAGCCCTCAAGGAAATGAGCTCCTCCGCGTGCAGTAGTGTCCTCTGCTGGATTGCTGAACTCTCAATGGATTGCCTTTCCTTTGCAGGGAGAAGAAGCTGATGATGATGACATATACAATGTGCTCTCCACGTTAAAGAGGTTAACCTCTTTTCACAAGTAGGTGATTTTTTTTTCCCTCAAAAACTTACTATGTTAATTTTATAATTTCAGTGAGTATCAGGTGATGTCTAGTGTTAAGAAATGAGAAAATATATATGCTCTGAAATATGAACCAGAGATTGACAGATGGTTAGTGGCATTTTCAGTATAGCTGTTTGGATTAGCCTGGGTCCTTGCTGAGTTAATGCCGTTAATTTTACAGATTTGGTGTGCAAGTGGCGTACCATCCCTTACACTAAGCGCTTTTACACCTCTGAGTGTTTCACTAAATAAATGTTGTGCTCCCTGTGTGACAAGGCAGTCAGCGCACAGGGAACACTTCTTATCTCCAGCACCAGTGGATGCTGGCCAGGTCTTCGCTTTGAGCCTCGGCTTCGGAGAGCCTGTTTCTCACAGTTTCTTGTGTCTTTGAGGTGTTTCTCCTCAAAATTATGTAAATAAGTAGTAGCGGTAGTATTAATAGTCAATAGTTTGTAGTGAGAGGTCTGTAGGATGCATTCTCTTCCTGCAGAAATGCCAGGAATAGTTTCTAGCTGCGTTGTTGGGAAGGTCTGTGTGGATTGCACAGAAACTCCTTCATTAAGCGTGGGGTGAACGAGCCCAGTGGAACCAGGCAGCAGCTTCTCAGGGTTCTGCTGCTCTCAGTCAGACCTGCAGGTGCCCTCCTAACATGCAGAGCAACCTGGGGAATGTCACCTGCACTGTAGGGTTTGGAGCACAGCACAAAGACCTCATCATCCCCTCCTGTCAGCTGTAGGAAGTAATTGGTCCTGGTCAGCCTGTGAGAAAGCTTCATATGCAGATGGCTGAGAGCCACAAATAATTTCTTCCTTATCACGAGATGGGAGAGGACCTTGCTTTCTCCCACCTCTTTTATGCCAGTTGGTTTTAGTGAGTTCATTCTTTCTTTTCTGTGCTTAGTTTTCACTTATCCTGAATCCTGCATTGGATCATTGTATGAAATGGTTCTGCAATATCTGCTCTTTGTTTCCACCCAAGGAGAGTCCCACAGAGATCATTAAATCGTTACTAATTTCCGTAGTTCAATGCAAATTAGGTCTTCAGTTGCCCTGGTAACACACTGGAGCCACTTCTGCCTTTCCCGAGAGGACTGATGAAAGCTGTAGTTCACGTCCAAGAAGGATGCACAAATCTTAAGGCTTTTTTGAGAATCTCCCAGATATATTTTTCCTTTAGGGTTCCAAAAATTAAGAGAGTGAATCCAGATTATAAAGAAAGCTTTGTAGAAAGACACACAAATCAGGGGCAGGGACGTGTACCTTCACCTTCCAAAAAAATAGGAAAGAAAAAAGAATCAAATCTGAAGAGCTGAAGACCAGCTGTGTATTATTTCTCATCTGATTTGTTATTTATTATTATAGTTCAATGGGAATTTCTAATTAATATCTGCTTGCATATAAAGTAATGAAATCTTTTCATTACTGCACTGAATGTTACATCTGATGTGGTTTCTTTGTGAAAGGAAACAATCATACCATCAGAGATGGAATTTTGGACAAACCTTTAGCTATGAGATTAGGATCCTCAAAACTCGCATTGAGCGTTCTCGTCTCGAAGAACAGGGGCTGCTTTCTGATCCTGTCGTTTTCTGTCATCAACTGGGAGCCAAAAGAAACTAAATCAATGGAAGAAGTTGAAATTGCAGGCTAACAACTGTTACCTTTCAGATCTTGTGAAACTGTACTGATACAGTAGTTGCTGAGGCTTCGAAAAGAAGCAAGTCCCTCTCTTCTTCCAGTGAGAGAAGTTCCACTCAACCTTATCTGCGCTTGTGTTTCCTTGGTAGTTGCTGCTGCTTCATATTCTAAGAAAAAGAAGCCCAGCAAGTTGGAAAAAACATGGTAGGGGATTACCAGAATTCTGGACCAAAAAGCTTCTCTACTGAGATTTCCCAAGCCTGAGCTAATCCTTTTTCCGAGAGGGTCATGACAATAAAGGGCTCACAGTGCACTCTTTAATTCATGTCTTTTCATCAAACAAGGATATCAGTATTCCAGTACAAATGAAATTCATCATTGCCATGTTTCCTTCCATGTTTCCAGAATGTAATAAATTTTCTTGAGGTCTTCTGAATAGAACACCTGGAGTATATACTTGGGCTTCTCTTTTTGCCAGGGTCTCACTGATATTTATAGGGTTTTTTTCTGTCCTTAAGTACATGCAGACAATTTTTCTGTACTGACTCCATCCCAATTCAACTGAGCTTTCACACATCAGTGCTGTAGCAGTTTGAATGCTGCAAAATAGCAGCATTTCTTACTTAATTACTTCAGTTAATTCACAAGACACATGAATCTCAGGCATCATCTCCATTACTCTGGATGTGCCCTTCTGATGCTGTCTGGTATATAGAACGCTGTTTCACATTTGGAAATCAGGATTGTTGGTATCACTGTCCAGTAGTCCTCAGGTATGGTATGGGATTTGATTCCTTCTGCCTCCCAACTTGACTCCGTAAGCCTGCAGCGGCTTTAGTAACTCTCTAGATACGAGTCAAGTTTTTATCAGTATAAGCCTGATCTGTTGGGACACTTCCAAGATAGGCAATTCCGTGGTCAGACCAGCAGATCTTCTCTTCCTGTTACAGAAACCCTTTGCTTAACCTTTTTTCCCCGTAGCTGACTAGTACATCCTTCAGACTAACTTCCTCAGAAATTCGTTACATCCAGAAGAAGTAGAAATGATTGTAAATGAAACCTCAGTAGAGGAATTAAACTGTAAGGAGCGTAGCTGTTCAAAGCCTAACGTAGAGCTTCTCGCGTTTTGTGCTTCTTTAAAAAGAGAATCAGTTTTGTGGATGGAGAGAACACCTCTTCTAAAAGGAGGTTTTCTAGGCGGCTTCTTTCCAGGCTTTCAGAAGCACTGTGGAACTGGTACCTTTACTTCATCTGGCTACTTCCTGGCAGAAAGGTGCCCTGGCAGACAGTGCTGTCCCTGGAGATGAAAAGAGACCTTTGATGAAATGTTGGGCCTTGTCTTCTGTAATCCATGAAGACTCTCTGACGTGGGAGGGACTAAGGAAAAATTCTGTGTTGTGTGAATTTTCATTCTATGTCAATCTGAACCTCTGTGCAGAATTGTCTTGTGTCGAAGGTACTTTTATAACTAGCCTTTTGATTGTAAAGTAGTTCGAAAGAGACAAAAGTGCACCAGAATATGCCTAGATTTCATGTGAAGGGTCTTCTTGAAGGAAGTTTATATTGAAAAGCCCTCTGCAACTTGTATATAGTTAGAATTGTTCAGCTTTGGAAGCTTACAAGCTCTTCCTGAGATGAGCTGTGAGGCCAGGCTTAGAGCAAAGGTGCTGCCAGCTGCGGGGCGAGGGGACATGCCTGCCGTGGAGGGCTCCTAAGTGAAAAGGCAGAAATGAGACCGTTTTCCCTTTTGTATTATCCTACAGATAATCTATGCTGATATCTGTCTCTGCACACCAAGGAAATTTTACTGCTTTAATTACAGCACTGTAATTAAGGAGCTACAACCCTTCCTTGCTAGCAACCCTGGGATTTGCTGAAGCAGCGGTTCTGTGCCTAGTATCACTAGTCAGAGGCAGTTCTCTGACAGCCTGTAATTTATATATGAAACATTTTGTTGCCATACTTCAAAGACCATCCAGAATCTAAGGGGGGGCAGGGGGTATTTTTACATTTTTGTTTCCCTTTTTTAAAGTTTTCTTATTGTTTTTCTTCATGGATTTGAGTTAGAAGTCAAGATGCACCTTGGCTTAGTAACACCTCCCCAGGGTGCATACTTGACTTGCTCTCAGCACAAGGGCATTCATTGTCACATTTTCTGTGAAACTTTCATCAGGGCGGTTTTCCAGAGCTCACACACTCCAGCCTGGGCAGCGTTCCATACCAGGGGTTTAAAAAAAAGTCTTGAGTTCGGCCTCTGTCCATTGCAGAACTAGGGAATTATTCTTTCTGGCTGAGGAGGGTAGTTAATTATTTAAACAAAGTCAGGCAGCTCCAAAGCAGGGCAGACACGAAGGGGTGGGAAAAGTGATCACATTTTGGTGATGATGGTGCTGGGATGAAAGGGAGCCACATGCAAGACACTGCTTTATCTGATTTAGACTTGCCAGTTCAGTCTGAGTATCCCTTCCCCTGGGTGAGTATTTTAATTAACAAATTTCTGATTATTCTGAGGTGGCTTGCTCTTTTGTAAACATTTTATAATATGCTTCAAATTAACTCAGTTTAATTCCACTGCAGAAAAACGTGCAGACCATCTCTGTCTCAGATACATGTATATCATGCTGTCTTACTTTAGATGTTTTCAGGATATTTACTATCTAGTGATAATCTATGTTGTTTATCTCCAAATGATACAGTGGAAAAATACATAACTTTATTTTGCTTAAAGCCATTTTTAATTCAGTATATATTGCTAGAGTTTGGCCATAGTTTCTGCTGCAATGCCAGAGAAGTGCCTTCTGGAGTTCTGACCAAGTTTAGAAACAAAGAGGAAAGGTGATTTAGAGGCAACACTGAGAAGGAGCTTCTGCCTACACTCAAGTAATCTTTAGAGATGTGTGGTATGCAGAGAGTTTATCTCCTCCCTACAAAAATCCCGTGTAGTAAAACACTTTTCCTCCATCACCCGAAAGCCTAGCTTCTGCTCTTAGTGTGGGGAGAACTGATTGTGCAGCTGCTCTGGCAGCAGGCTGAGTTGTCTCCGCTTCACAAAAACACCAAGTCACTCACTGAGCTGCCAGGTCAGACTGCGTTCTTGCCGTGGTGGAGTTTGGAGGAACGCAACTAATCTCTCTTTGTTACCTCTCGTTGTAGTGCTCATGATCTCACCAAATGGGATCTGTTCAGTAACTGCTACAGGTTGCTCAGAACTGGAATTGAACATGGAGCGATGCCAGAACAGGTAGGGTTAGCAACACCTGCGCTGCATCCTCTGGGGATTCACGGTTTTGGAGAGTCTAGTCATAGAGAAATTCAGAAGATTAATGCACTAGACTTCGGTTATTTAGGAAAAATGTGGAGGTTTGAATTAAATTTATATTGCATTGAGACACTGTCCAGGAGGTGAAAAATTCTGAATTCAGTGATTTTTGAGCTACTTGCCTCACCTTTCTCATCAGTAAAGTATGGGATAACTGATGTTCCTGGCTGTGAAAAGCAATGCGTGAATCATGATGTTTACAGTGAAACCCAACATTTGTAAACCTTGGCTGCAATTAGAATTATCACAAATTATTATTGTGCATTGAAGGTAACATGGAAGCTTAATGAAAACCAGGAAGCAAGAACAATATTTAGCAGGGATGCTGGCCAGCCCTTCCAGGGGAGTTCTTTTAGTGGACACATCTTGGACTTTGTTTGCTCCTAGGATTCTCCCAGGATCCCCGTTTAAACTGCAGACTGCCTACTCCAGTATTTAAGCACATTTTAAGTTATAACTTGATTTCAGTTAGCAGACAGTTGTTAATTCTAACCCAACTTCGTTTAGAAAAAACAATTCTCTTGAAATTCTGTAAAAGTGTTTTCTGAAAAGGACCATACGGAGGATGCGTAGCCACATGCCATGTGAAAGTCACGGCTTTAAGCTGGGGGACCTTCTGCTGTCTCCGCAGTTGGTACTTAATGTGGAATTGTGCTACCTGGAGGGAAGGGGCCAGCAGATAAAAACTGTCCAGGCAGCTACCAGCCATCTTCAGTGTCTGGCTTTGACAAGGATACGGCTCCCCAAATACTTCTGTAAGATCTTGGGAAAAAAGTTCTGAAATCTGAACTCTCCTCAGTGTTTCTTTCCCCAGTCCACTAGAAGGAGTTCACTGAAAAGGAGTGGTTTGGTCTTTAGTGAGATCTTTCAAAAAGGTATCTTGTGAAGTGATGAGAGCTGTTACAAACTTAATTTATTCTGCACAGAACCGCAAACCATTGGAAGCATCTTCAAGCCAAAAAGTTTTTGAAATTTTTAGCACCTAATATAGATTTGAAATTTTTAAAAGACACAATGGATGCTTTTATGGGCACCATAAATATTGAGCCTAGTCTTCTCCATGAGGAAATTTGTATTTTCTCCCTTTTTTTAGAAATTGGGTCACATGTTAATTTGGCAATAGAACAAATTTCCAGACTCTTTCGCTAGTGAAGTCAGATTTGGAGATATTTAAACACATGTTTTTGAACTGAGATATGTAGATGTTGGTTGTACTGCCGTCACGCTGTGACATCACCTCTCGTTGTACCCTAACGCACAGTTTTCTGTTCTGTTTCCAAGCATTGACACTGTTTTGACACTGGTTTGTTTGGTTTTTTTCACCTGTAGTAGTACACTTTTTTATTGCACCAAACTGACAAAGGAAAAGCATAATATCCTTGAAAATAAAAAGTACTGCCTAAGAGCTGCTCCTGTTCTTCTCCCCAAAATGCACTATAAATTTTAGAAACACTTTACTGTTGTGCTTGGTATTTCTGGGGTGCTGGGTTCTTTGTGTTCCCTCTGTTACAGATAGTCGTTCAGGCGCTGCAGTGTTCCCATTACTCGATTCTCTGGCAGCTGGTGAAGATCACCGAAGGCTCCCCTTCCAAAGTAAGTAGGCGTTTGACCATACAGATTTTTCTGAAGAAACACAGCTTGCCTAAAAAGGCACTAGACCTGGTTCTCTGTGACTCCACTCACCGTGCAGTCTTTTTATGTCATTGTGAACCAGATATAAAATGTTGGTGTTTTGATTTCTTCAATATTTTGAGATCTGTTTAACATCCCACACATGTCTAAATAAGCTGTACAAATAGTGGAAGCTTGTCTTTATCAGGATTTGATACTAGCTGATTTTTATATTTTTATTACTGAGAATATTTAATGCACTGTGTTGTGAGTACAGCAGTTTGCAGGAACGCGTGAGTGATGTTGACAGTACTTACCGAGGAGTTGTGGGCAATGTGTTGGTCTGTACACCACAGATAGCTTCACACTTCTGGGCGTTTACCTTGCTCACCTTTTGCTTACATCACTTAAGTTGCTAAATACAAATGCAAGGTTACCAGCAGTGGCGATTACAAACAAAAAGTAAGTGCATGCAAATGTAGTGCAGTGAGGACCACTTGTTTGTTGTTCTTAACTTTTCCAGGACCTTTCCTTAGCTCCTTTCTCAACCGGAGGCCAACATCCTGTCTTTCTAGGGCTTTTTCAAAAGTAATATATCAAATTGGAACGGTATGAAAACTGCAACAAACATTTCTGACCCAGCATGTCAATGTGTGGGTCCGTCCAGCCTTCTGGTGTTCCTTTGCTGTGGCTGTGACCATCTGAGGACAGAGGGAGGTGATGGTTTGTGGGCTGCAGTGCTGTCTTTAGCAGACCAATGGATATAGCGGTAAAATCAGAGAAGCTTGTGGACACAGAAACCTTTCAGGTTTGAAATAAAAGCAGAAGATTACAAACCAAATACAAGCTGAAAACAATTGCTTGGTTTCTGTTGAGATACGGATGAGGTAAACTTGCCTCTGAAAGAAAAGGAAAAGGTCATTGCTGCCCATGGGGAGTGGGAGCAGGGGAAGGCAAGGTAGTTCAGGCAGGTACCGGGAGGGCAGGAGGAGCTGGATAGCGGGGAAGGGAAAGAAGATGAAAGATGAAAAGGCTAATGGGGAGAAGGGAATTTATAATATGTCATAAAACTTATCTTGGGTCCTTTTTTTTTTCTGTATCCCTTAGATTTATGAATTCTTGTTCCCAGGCTGGTATTTAGAAGATGATTTTTTTAGATTTCCCTTGAGCATCCAGGCTGAGAGATCAGAGATGGAGGGATTGATTTATAGGAAACGTTCATCTGCTGCCAGCTGGGTCGTTTGTTTGAGTTCCAGCTGGCAAAACGTAGCTGCTCTGTTTCACCTGGTTAGTTACCATGTAGGCAGTCAGTGCACAGGATAAAGTATATTAACATTTTAGAATTGCAGGTGCAAAATTCAAGGGTGTTAATGTTTCTGTGGGAAACATTATTTTGGTAGTAGTGGGCATACATTGGCAAGGTTTGCATTTCATCATCAGGTGTGATTAAGATGAATGGTGCTCTGCATCCAAGAGGTGTCCATGTTATTGCAGGGAGTTTGCAGGTGGGATGGGTGGTTCTGGTAAGATTCCTTTCAAAGTAAGTTCTTCTTTGAGTAGAGCTCAAAATTGCTTAGTAATTTTGTGTGTTGGTTCTAGGGTACAGCCATACATGACAACAGGAGTATACGATTGGGAACAGAATCTTTTTGGAATGAAGTTTGGGTTTTGGGGTTGTTTTTTGTGTGTGTATGTGTGTGTTCAGATGGCTCTTCCAAAAATCCACCCTCTCTCCTAAGAGGATTGCTGTTGTTTGGAAAGTGTCCTGGGCATTGTGCACAAACCCAGGACACAGTTATTGCTTTCTGAGAGGTGCTTTACGTTACAGCTGTTGGGTATGTTTTGGGTTACGGCTGACCATATAAGGCCAGGCGTGTTGGTTTATAGGCTTTAGACATGTGGCAGGGAAAAACTATGGACTCTTGCAGTTTAAATCAAGTTAGGATCAAGTCAGCTCATTGATTCATTAACAACACACAGTTAACCTGCAGTCAGTGCAGCACATCTCCAGGATAAGTATCAACTATACAGCAGGTAAACCAGAACGCTAGGCACTTCATAATCCTTGTGACTGCCTGCAATTTCGAACTACCCTTCTGTGGCTGTTCCCAAGTCACTCTAATCCCCTCCCCAAGACACCCACGCAGTTTGGAGTTACAGGCTCACACCCTGGCTCTCAGGGGAGGTGGGAGGTACCACCCACTGCCCTTTGGGAGCGTGAGATCCCGCACATACGTGTGGCTGCTGTTGGGTGCGTGGGTGCTCCAGCTTCCCGTGTGCCCATGCCCACAGAGCACTCCACAGTCACACACACACCAGAGGGGTGGGTTCCTGCATGTTGCACCTTCAGATGGGTGCAGGCTGCTTCCAGCTTCCAGCTGGGAGGACGTGCCCCCAGGCCCAAGCGGTGGCTGGAGTGTTGGAGTGTCTGACTCGGTTTGGCTGCTGCTCTGTTCCACCCCACAGTTCCTCTCCATGATCACAGCTTTTCATGCTGCTTTTATACTTCTTTACAAGGCAGCTCCTTCTTTTCTCAAATGTTGCTTGGTAGTCTCCTGGTTACTGGTTAATCTGGCCATTTTATGCAAATCCATTGTTAACTTTCCTCTTAGCATTATCAGATTTTAGGCAAGCGCCCCCTCCGAGCAGGTCATGTTAGGTGTGTGTTCACAGGCACTGTTGCACTTGTGTTCTCATCATATCAGCTGTTGTTTATCCAGGCTGTTACCACGAGGGTGCTCTGCAGATTTCCTCCCACTGTGTAATATCATTTGTAGATTAAAGTTTTGATCATAGAATTTAAGGAAGTGGTATCAGCATAAAAAATGTTTCAAAGACATTTTAATAGAAGGGTGGTAATTACTGATTATTTGAATTAGTAAGGAAGTCCAAATTCTCTGACCAATAACAAAGATTCCACCAGTTTAAATTAAATACAGCATGGAGTTGGGGCAGAGTTATTTTAAAACCCTTTTTCAAGGTAGCCTGTGGGGGAAAAAAAAAAAAAAAGGGCATACTGTGGAGTCATCTTGGTGTCTAAAATCTGAAAGGAAAAATTGATTACTAAAAGGAAGGGTGCAGCAGGTGAGAATGAGATATGTAAGCCTTGAAATATCCACAGTCTAGTTCTCTAATCCTTGGTCTTCCTCTTGTACATGTTCAGAGAAGGCTGAGGCTATGACAGTGTGAGCTGTTGGTAAGCACACAAGTGCTGTTCGTGGTAAACAGCAGTGTACTGGGCGGGAGTGGTTTGTACTGTGTAGTCCATGGGAGAGGTCAGTTGTAGCCTGGAGAGAAACCATTCTTCACGTGAAAAAGTATTTGAGGATGGTTTCAAAGAAAGCTGGTAATTTATCAGCAGGAGTTCTCTTGTTTGTAGATCTTGGGGAGCAAGTACAGTCTTGAGGTAGAAGATTGGGGATTAGATTGTACAGTTGTTGCTTCCATCTGGATTTCTTCATGTGTTCAATAAACCAGGTGCCTGGCACCACTGTGCTGTGCACTGGACATGTATGTAATGAAAACGAAATATTTGCAGAAGAATAGAGTCCAAAATCTTAGAACAGTAAAAAAAAAATAATAATAATAATAATAGAGCTGTTGTGGTTAAAACCCAGCTAGCAGCAACAAATACCACACAGCTGCTCACTCACCCTCCCCTCTCCCAGGGGTGGGGGAGAGAATTAAAGGGAAAAGGTGCTTGCAGGTTGAGATAAGAACAATTTAATAACTAAACTACAGTAACATTGAAAATAATAATGAAAATAATATCCAAATACACAAATGAATGATGCACATTGCAACTGCTCACCACCCGATGGCTGAGGCTCAGCCTGTTCCCAGGTAGCCATCCTGGAGCAGAGATTGTCCCGAAGCCACAGTCCTGGAAAAGACAAGAGCCAGAGAGAGAGAGAGTGCTTCCGGATAGCACCTCATAAGGTACTGGGTATGCCATATATGATATGGAACAGACCACTGGCCAGTTTGGGTCTCAGTCCTAAACCTGAGGTCAAATCCTGGGCTGGTCACTTTGGCTGTGCTCCCTCCCAGCTCCTCCTGCCCCTGCAGACACGGGCACAGCAGAGAAGCTGGAAAGTCCTTGACTGTCCTGGCAGCAGCTCTGCCCATCAGTGTGTGATCAGCTTCTCCTCAGCACAAACCCAAACAGCCTCACACCAGCTGCTGGGAAGAAAGTGAACTCTGTCCCAGCCCAAACCAGGACAGGAGCAAACATTCAGAGGCAAGACAGAGGTGAAACAGTTTGGAATGAGCAGCAGCCAGACCAGGCAAATGCATAGCTATTGCAAAGCGATGAGTGGGCAGAGGAATTATAGAGGGGATTTAAAGAACAACGTAGTGACCTGGTGTCTTTTCATATTTATATGGGCACAGTGAAAGAAAGCACAAAATGCTAAAGGGAAGAAAAGGAGTCACAAGGTGCGAAAGGTTGGATCGTGTTCCACGGTCCAGTTGAAAGTAATGGCTCTGGACCATTGTAAAGTTCAGTGAAGAGTTGGAGTTGCAAGGAGAGTTAATTCTGTAAATTATTAGTTTAGAGGAAAGGCGGTGGGAAAATAGGAAGAAAAACATCGGCTTTTGTAGATGAACCTAGCAAAAGGACAGCATTTCTAAATGGCTTCAATGGAAGAAAAAAAAAAAAAAGCTTCAATTTAAAGCTAGAAAATAACTGAAGAATGTTAGAGAGTAGTCTTGTGAACACAGCTGTTCAGTTACAAGTGGTGGCAAAGCCAATACACGTCCTTGCTTTTAGTGGCTCATTCGTGTTCCTACCATGGGCTAGTTACATTTTAAGATACTACGCTGTACAGGTCAGGAAAGGGTTATTTTTATCCTGGGTCACTTTTAGGGATCCAGTTCACAGTGTGGTCCCATGGTTTTACCCTGGCAACCAAGAGGATGGTAAAATTTTTTCACACCAGTGAAGCCAGCATGTCAGGTCATCACACGTTAGGAGCCTTGGCTGTGCCTCTGAGAATGGTAAAAGACTTGAAAAATGTAATTAATTTTTTTCTTCCCATTTCCTCTTTTGAAAATAAAAAAAAATAGTACTCTGTAATAGCCTGGGGATTTCTCCAAATTTAGAAAAGTTCCAGATGTCTCTGTTGCACTGTCAAGTCAGGCTCTCTTTTGCTGTCTGTAACTTTTCAGCATGAATCTTTGTCATGCCATCGAGAGAGGATAATAAATAATGTGTACCTACGTGTGACTCATTCTTTGACAGGAAGAAAAATGGGAAACGTGCTCATTCACTTTTTAACCTTTATATAGGATTTTGTCATAGGCTTTAGTTTCACTGTTGAGTTCATTGACATCTAAATGGGAGACAATTCTGATGGAAAGCAGGAAGTTATCAAAGTGTTTGCAATCCCAGTGATTAAAGATGTAAATCAGATGGTTGTGTAACAGCTGACAAGCCTGGTGTCAGGCCCAGGTAAAATCTTGGACTGGCTGGGAGGAAGCACAGACAGTACAGGGCCGACGGACAGAACCAACGTGGCCAAGAGATAAGACCGGGAGGAACAAACAGATCTGTTCTTGAGAAGATGGCATTTTCAACCGACAAGGAAACCAGCTGAAATACCAGGTTCTGTAAGACATTGGTACCACATTGCACTTCAGGTGAATGTGTGAATTGAATGTAATTCACATTCAAAAGCTCAAAGCTGATCAGTATATTAGAAAAAAGTTGTAAGTAGGAAATCGTCACACAGCTTCTGGTGCATTCCAGAAGAGATCGTTCTCTGCTAAAACCTGATAGTTTTACCAATCGTCATGGAAAGTGAAGGCATTGAAAATGTGGATGTTCTAGATCAACTGTTAAACAAAATACAGCTGAAAAAACAAAGAGGCATTTGAATGCTGCCAGATGGAAGGCTTCTGTCTGGGAATAAGAAGGCTGATGAGTGGAAGGCTGGGACTCAGAACAGCACAGGGTGGGGCGGTGGCACAAAGGGATCCTTGCTGACATTATCAGAGGAAAATCCATCAGGAGTAGGAAGGTGAGGTGGGTCACAGACCTTCAGCGTCCAGTCACACTCACTCCATTTAAAACTAGAAGAGGTTCAGAGGTTTGGGAACACTTGGGGTGCTTCAGCACGCGTGCAGACCTGCCTTCTGCTGTGAACCAGTACGGGAGGGACACATGGACCACAAAAAGGCTGCACAGTAAACAAAGAGTGACAAGATCTTACGACAGCAAGCAATAAAAAGCTAAAACGAGAAATGAGACACACGGGCTGAACAGCCAGCATAATGAAAACCTGGCATTTTTAGCAGGGAAGATGCTGCATATGCACTCTGTGGATTCTTTAGCTGCAGGCTGGCCGTTGCTCTGTCGGGCACGCTGTCTGCCGTGGGAGAGCTGATAGAGGTGTGGTGGGGAACGTCTGCCGGAGCAGCAGCAGTCGTGGTGTGAGTCTGTGGCTGGCGTGATCCCTTCCTTACACGAGACCAGTGATGGTGGAAACTGGGAGGGGAGAGGTCTCTGGAGCAGTGGTGCAGGTGCACGTGAGAAGTGCTGTCGTCCTGCAGAACTGCTGGTGGAGGAGCACGGGAGGAGCTCTGGGTGCTGGAGAGATGCCGTGGGGCGGGAGCGTTCGTATCGCCTGAGCAACACGGAGCAGCAGGATCTGGGAACCGGTGCTGACAGAGCCAGTCCATTGACAAAAATGGGAGTTAACGCAAAGTCACCAGTCACAAGTTCTTCTCTCCTCTCCTCTCCTCTCCTCTTCTCTCTTCTCTTCTCTTCTCTTCTCTTCTCTTCTCTTCTCTTCTCTTCTCTTCTCAGTGTTTGGTTTGTTACTGATGTAAGCAAAGTAACTATTTCCATATGTGCCAATTAGCTGTGTCCATTTTCAGTGTGTTCCTTGGTTATGAAGGAGGCACTCCTTGCTTCTCACATGGGAGGGTTCTTGTTCTTGTGTAGTTGTTCTGCTGTTTCCGTGTGGCTATTTGCTGTATTCTTAGGATTATGCTCCAGTATCTTACATTTTGTTTTGATTTGTTTTCACTAGTTTATCTCGTTATCCCCAAAAATTCCTCAGGGTACAGCATTCATTCCCCCAGATGAAGGCAGACAGCTTTCCTGTTGAACCTGCCGCTTCTGGCACCCACATTGCAATGCGCCTCACTTGTCTCTAGATCCAGATTATCAACAGCAGTCATTCATTTATCTCCTCCACCCACAAATCCTCTTTCTCCAGACCAACAAGCCTCCCTCCTCCTCCCCTAAGTAACCAGATTTCTGTGATCTGCCTGCACGTTTCCCGTGTCTGCGGGCAGTTAGGAGAATGTTTTTGTTGAACTTGAGACATTCCTTGGGAATTCACTTTTTTGTCCATGTTGATTTATCTGAGTACAGAATTCATTGTAAACCACCAGATAAGCCGACCTTGATGTATTAAACTTTTGTTCTGAAACATTTATAATTTACATTCAATATAAAATACAGAGAATTTTAACTCAGGAATGTATTGTTTTATTATTATTGTTTGTTACAAGGAAACCTTGTGTCATTCCTCTGAAAATTAAGGACTTGTTTTACTCTGTGCTGTATGAATATTTGTATATATATGTATATATTGTATATATGTATATAATATAATGTATATTTTCAGGGCCTCTCCATTTTTGTTTGGCTGGTTTATAGGTTGGATGTATGAAATGATCACCATCTTTTTATTTTGCTTTTTCGTAGCAACCTTTTATTAATATTTTTTAATGTTTATTCTAGGAGGACCTGTTGGTATTGAGGAAAACTGTGAAATCCTTTCTGGCTGTCTGCCAGCAGTGTCTATCGAATGTCAACACTCCGGTCAAAGAACAGGTATGGAAAAATGTCTGTCACATGCTTTTACAAACACGTGAATATTAAACTGTAGGAAAACTCAAAGACGACACTGTACCAAGCCTAAAGTCCTGTGTGCCATCTGTCTAAATAAAAGCGAACGCTCCATAGCAAGAGCTGTATTAAAAGCACCTTCAAAGCACAGCTGGTGTCAAACTCGCGTGTGATAGAACATCAGGATCACCTGGATGCCTGGGTTCCCGTCCAACTGTTGTAACTTTAGGCATCTAACTCAAACACCTAAAATAAAGCCTGTTCCTTTGGACACTTGCTGTATTAACAGATGGAGATAGGCACTTCTAGAGGGTGGTTGAGATCTCAGATCAGCTGGGTCTTTATCTGTATATTTCTGGATTTTTTTCCCCTCGTTATTGACTAACAGGGAGTCTAGAGTGACTGCTTTCCTGCCTGCCAAAGGCAGATGCCTGAAGCTAAACTGGAAAAATCTAAGCCTCGGTGATATTTCATTATTTCATTATTCTGATAATGCAGTTAAATGTAGTGGTGAATACTAATTATTGTATCTCTATTTTATGTTGTGGCTAATGGGAGAAAATTAAGGCTTCTTGCAGTACAGGTCATGCTACTGGGTATTTTCTAGCAGAAAAAAATGAATTGATTTTCCAAAAATACTCTGAATAACACTCGAATCTGGTGTCCTCTCACACTATGCAAACATTGTCACTTGACAAATAGTTATGTCTCCTTGAGAAATCAAATAGCCATTTACATTTATTAAATATAAAGATCTGGAGGTTTTTTGGGTTCTCATCAATTTAATTATTATAGCTTAGGTTGCTGTGCTTCCCTGTTTGGTAGGGTGACTGAAAACTTATGTGCGTGCATCTCTCTGCACACATATGCCAAAAGTATATATGTGAAGTATAATTACATAGTAAGGTATCAGATTTTTTTTTAATGGTTCAGTGTAATTATCCAATTGTTTGGTTTAGATTTTTGGAAAGCTGTGCTCACATGGAGTGGGAAGCTTCTGCTATGTGTATTTAGAAATTGAAATAAAACAAATCAAATTATTTGTTGAAATAATATGCAGTCTCTGCAAAAACAGTAGCTGGTTTGCTTGCTGAGATTTTGTAAATATATGCTGATTTATATCAAGTCTGTTGGCATCTTTTCGTTGTCTGCAAATTGCATCAGACCTTCCAAGATTTTGCAAAGACTGTAACTAACGTTCCTGTGGTTTTTGCCCGTATTTTGTTAAAGATAATACTTCTTAGAAGACAGTTTTATGTTTTTGGAAGATAGCTCTGCTTGGCATTTACACTATGTTCTACAAGCTGATAAATATAAATATTAAAAGCTCAGAGATGTTTCTAGTTCACGTATTTTTAAAAGACTCTGAGGTGTCATTGTCTTCCAGCAGATTTAACTTCAGTAATTGTTTTTTAATGTAAGTAGTTACTCTTGGCTTATTTTATTAATATTGTATAATGTGAAAATATCATCCAGCTTCATGAAAATGCCAACCACTCTCGCATAAGCTAACACTAATGCCTCTTCTGCGTCAACAAATGGTAAATCATCCTTCCCACTGCTGCGGTGTTTTTGTTCTTGATATATATTAACGTGTTTTTATTCTCTTATTATTAGTGGCCACGATGTTTTTTACACTGGTAATTTAGACTTTTCTTACAAGCTCATTTGCAGTTCTGTGGATGCTTTCAAACCTCAGCTAGACACAGCCATGACCTAGAGACAGCAGGTGTCCCAAACAGAGCAGGTTGGACTAGAGACTCCACAGGTCCCTTCCAACTGACACTTTGATCTTTTTAATTTTCTTCCTTAAAAAGAATATTTCTGGAAAGGCAGGACTGTTCCTTAATCCTTTTGTTTTACTGGATTTTCTTCCTAATTCTGCCTAAATTATATTGTCTCCCTACCATTTTTGCTTCTTAATTTATACATTCTTTCCAGAGAAGATCAATGTACATGTCAGAGGAGGGGGAAAAAAGTATTAAGTATTTATAGAAACGGGTCTCAAACATTTCAAATTTTCCTAGACTAAGTGAGTGAAATAAATCTCCTGTGACTGATGTATCTATGAGATACAGACATCTGTATCTGAGTCCACTGCTGTCTTTATATTGGACAGAAATAAGCACTCTCAGGGCATAATTCATATGCTCTTTTTTAGAAGTCTACGTTAGATTAAATTCTAGTGAGTATCAAAGGAGTTTAGAGCAGGTGAGTCAGCGCTGAAATGAATCACAACTCTTTGGATCCAGTGCAGAAAAATCCCAAATATTGGCATGTCTCCAAAGTCTAAGCAGAATACGGTTTGCAATGATTTGCGTTCTGTTCTTGCTGAAGTACAGCTCATTCAGATTTTAGAACTTACTTCAAGGCATCAGTGAGCTGCTGTGAAGTTCAGCGTTCCCAGAGATTTCGTTCTGGAGGTTTGTAAAACAGATTGCTCTCGTTCGCTACTTTACCTTCGACTCAGTTCAAAAATATGTTTAAACACACATGTAACTCTCTGACTGTTCAGCTGTTTGTAGAGGGCGAACATGGGGCTGAATCAAAGCCTAGGTTGGAGTCTATGCATCTGTCAGAGCTGCTGTCCCGTCTCTCTTCAGCTGAAAATGCCTCTGGCCTGCAGCGTACCTGGGCATGGTGACGGGCACGGCCCCCACCGAGATCCTGCGGGCTGCGGGGCGAGAGCGGCACGGCCAGCATAGGTCTTCTGCACATTCACACGCTGAACCTTCCTCTCTTTCTCAGTTCTCAGCACCTGAGGTTAAAGATGGAGAAACTAAGATGATTACAAAGTATTTTCTGAAAGGTGCTCAGGTGGTGAGTGCAATGCAAATGGACGCAGCTGGCTGAGGCATTCCAGCATGAGCCGCTGGGGAAAATCGTGTTGTTCTTGTGCATGGGAGTACACGGATAAAGTTATTAATAACTGCCTTCTTTCTCTGTTCTCAGGTAACGAGGGCATGATAGTAATGAGCATAAATCATTGAAAATTCTGCCCTGGTTGGCTTTTATCTAGATTTGAAAGCTACGCAGAGTTACTTGATTCTTTTTGCAGAGAATTGTTGACAAAATTCTGCAAGGATTTCCTTGCGTACAGCTCCTTCTCTATATTTTTGGGATCTGACAGTGGCTACTCTTGGATTTTCCCTCATAATGTTATTAATTTTTTTTCCTTGTTTGACTATTCTAACTGTTTATCAAAAGAGATGTTTTACTGCGAATTTGGTTACAGCCATTGGATCAGAGGTAGATTTAAGCGTTCTTTCCATAGAGAAGAAATGAAAGTTAAATACGGATCATCCTGGACATGGGAGAGGTAGTAAACACACCAAAGGCATAACATTTTAAAGTTAGGGGAATCCAGCATGAGCACTTTTCACAGCACACAAACAACCACAGCCGAGTACAGTTAAAGAAGGACATTTAATAATAGCAGGAGCTATCTGGAAATTAGATAAATGGTCTTTTATTTTATACTTACTTACACTCCTTACTGCATTCATTCTCTTTTACCTTTCAGGCTTTCATGCTGCTCTGTGATCTCTTGATGATTTTTAGTCATCAGCTGATGACTGGAGGTCGAGAAGGTCTTCAGCCTTTGGTGTTTAATCCAGATTCAGGCCTCCAGTCAGAACTTCTCAGTTTTGTGATGGACCATGTCTTTATTGACCAAGATGATGAAAACCAGAGCATGGGTATGTTCAGCTTTCCTGTTTTCTATGGGCTGTTTTTCGTAGCAGACACAGAAGAGAGAAGGAACCAGGTTTTTCATATCGCTTTGCTCATGTTTTCAGAATTATTCCTTCTTTATTTTTGGGAGGAGTGAATATGAAATATTCAGTACTATTTGTGTTAAAGAAGAATAAGTACTTACAAAGTTCACTTCATAAAAATAGATGTTTTCAGAAGACAAGGGAGTTGCCTGTAACTACAAGCTATAAATCTGGACAAAATTATTCTTCCTGTACTCATCTATATTTTTCTTGATATTTATTTCTAAAACAGCACAGTCTTAGTTCAGCAGCAGACTTCATTTAATACAGCTTCAAGGGAGGAAGCATGATGGAACAGTTCACAGAAGAGAAATCCTTTAGAGTTACTAAGTAGAGTTGCAGGATCCTGAAGGCAAACCTCACCAGCAAAGCTCTAGGTGCAGAAGGCCCGAAGAAATCTGATGTTCCTCCAAAATAACCAAATCAAGCTCAGGACATAACTGATTTGGCTGGAGACTGGGAGGGTACTTGGGGAAGTGTCATGTACGCTTGCGTGCTTCCTTGCTCTTTCCCAGGCATCTGTGCGTGACTGCGTTGAGAGGCCGCGGTTGGAGGTGACCCCATCTCCACCTCCTCACAAGGATGACTTGGAATTCTGGCTGTCACTCGGGGAGAGGCAGATTTGTCACTTAGGTCTGGTTTTAAATAACTCGGTGCTGTGTTACAGGTGCCTAAAGGCAAGTACAGAGATACCAGATTTCTGAATCCAGAACAGGTTTGGGCAAGAGCTGGGTTCCCAGATAGTCAAACCATGTGAAAGCTGCTGAGCGCGTGCTGCGGTGCTCTTTCTGGCACCTTTTCTGCATTTCCGCTGTACTCAGCTGCTAGTATGTTAGCGTGACACATCGTTGCTATTTTAGATCTTTTAAGACAGCAATATATAGAACTAAGGTCTCAGAGAATCTATTCTTGCTCTAAAGGTGCTTTCAGGCTTCTAGTCCCCAGGTCCTCAGCAGCTGACATCTTTCCTTCTTGAGCATCTCTTGGGATTCCTGGGAAGAACACATTTTGAAACACTTGTTCACCAGAAATCTGTGTGCAGTTAATCATACTTTGTGAGTTCAATGTTCAGAAAGAATACATCAGGGATAGATTTTAGGAGGATGGTGTCTAATTTATTTTTGCTCTTTAGCAAAATTGCTGCTCGTTAACGTCCTGTGATTGGACTGGGAAGACAGCAAAGAGATGGATGAAGATCTTTGTGCATAATCTCCTTTCCCTAGTGCTGCTCTGACTCCATGAAGTCAGTCTGGCCATTTATAACTTCTGGTATTTGGAACACCTCAGTAATGATAAAATAAATTAAGCAAAGGGTGGGGGGAGTGTGCTGATGGGCTTCAATTCCATGGGATAAAGCACTGCAGGATGAAAACATGCATGCATGTTCACAGTCAACTCCGCTGCTCGTAGATTTCCTGTGATCAAATACGTGACTCGAGGACTGTGGCTCTGTGGGGACTCCAGTAAGAGTCGCAGCTGACACTGTGTCCCTCCTCCCCCCTGCACAGGTCTCTGCTTCTCCAGACTGGTGGGAAGATTCCCTCCAAGAACAAGCTCTTCTAAATACCACTGAATATTTACTTTATTACAGTGGTTATAGCTGATTTCATTTTCTTATATAAGTTGTGAAATATGCTTTTATTACATGATAGAATATTTCACATTTTATGGGTATAGCCTCATTGTAATTCACGGAGTGGAGTGTTTGTACTTCTGACATTGCCATTCAGTGGTGGTGTTTCTGACAGCTGAGATAAACTTCCTATTGCTGCTTCTAATTTTCCTCCTGTGGAATATGTGTAGCTTAGTCATGTTAAAGTATCTCCAAATGTTTCAAAAGTTAGGCAAAAAACGTTCTACAAGTCCCCACTGTGGCCTTTCACAGGGTAAAGAAAATAAGTGATCCATTTCCATGTGGATTGCGTTTAGTACCTGTTCAGGACTACAGCATCCTTGGTCAGTCGTGTGTCATGTTCCTGAGCTTTCCTAAAGGTCCTAACATAGGCAGGACTCAAGAATTATCACCTTTCATTTTAGCTTCTCCTGCAACAATCCTTGCTTCATTTTGAATATTTTTTTCTAAAACCTACCCTTCAGTAATGTTGCTTTAGAACATAGCAGTTCCTTACAAACATATTCTTGTTGTTGATGCTTTCAGAGGGAGATGAAGAAGATGAAGCTAACAAAATAGAAGCTTTACATAAGAGAAGAAACCTTTTGGCTGCCTTTAGCAAGCTGATAATTTACGACATTGTGGACATGCATGCAGCAGCAGATATCTTCAAACACTATATGAAGGTACAGCTCTGTGTATTCTCCTCTCCTTCACTGAACACAGGCTGTGGTGTCATGGCCGCTCGTCCTCTCCCTTCCAGCACAGTAGTTAAAGGCTGAACACTTTTGAAAGCTTTTCCAGCCTTATTTGATTTCTTATAGTAGTTTTTCTTTTCTAAACCACGCCTGCTACTGAGAAGCCGTTAGCTCTGAGCCTCCTCTCCTGCGTAGCAGGAGTGCCTTACTAAAGGCAGTGCCAGAATTTGGTCCTGCACGGTGCTGGGTGTTCCCAGAGAGGCTCCCCTCTGCAGAGAATTTCTCACCCTGCTCCTCAAACTCATTCCTAGAATCTACAGTAACAGTCAGCTGTTCAGCGTTAGGTTCAGCTGGGAGTCTGGCAGTCTTGGTGCTTGCCATAAGGGAGCAGGCGGTTTGGTGAGAAAAGATGGTTTTAAAAAGGAAAGCAGTAACAAATCTCTGTGTGGGACTGCTGTAGGTGTGTGTGCATCACCTGAGTGTCTCACCAGCTCCCACTGCCTCCGTACAGGATGGAGGCACAGTGGAATTCAGACAGCCCTGCTGCTCAGCCACCGCCACACCCTGCTCTGGCGAGGTTACTGCCAGAAACCAGGCATGTCAGCAGCCCTGGCGCTGCCCAGCAGCACACAGCCCCGCACTTATAGCACAGAATCACAGACTGGTTTGGGTTGGAAGGGACCTTAAAACCCATCCAGTTCCACCCCCTGCCATGGGCAGGGACACCTCCCACCAGCCCAGGTTGCCCAAAGCCTCATCCAGCCTGGCCTTGAACCCCTCCAGGGATGGGGCATCCACAGCTTCTCTGGGCACCCTGGGCCGCTGCCTCACCACCTGCACAGTGAAAAAAATATCAGATTGAGGGGCAAACCTTACCTGTCTGTGTGAGGGATTAGTCCTCACAGAGGTGCCAACCAAGGAGGAGAAACTGGAAGATAGAGTGGGGAGCAGGTCCTTCGCTGTAGACAGTGTTTGAGATGTTGGGGTGAAATATAAAGGAGTGAACCTTAAATCCTCCCTCTCCTGTTCGTTAGGAGCACACAGTTCAGTAGCATCTCCAGCGCACACTCCAGCCATCAGCCAGGTCGCTGGGTTAGTCTTGCGTAGGGGTTTTTCCCAGAGCAGGAGTTTCAGACTGACGCTGTCACAATCCCAGGTTTGTTTCCTACCTGCTGCTCTAGGTTGGTCTTCTCTCCCCCCACCCCTCCTTCTCTTGAAATTGGGGGAGAGTGAGAAAAACTGAATTTAAATCAGAATGCAAACTGAAAGGATCTCTGTACCAAAGAAGGCAGGAGCAATATTTTAGAGGCAATGAAAATGAGTGGTTGCAAATGCAGAAATATTCATGAGGCTGAAAGAATACTGTTTGGAAAAAGAAATTTTATATTCTCAGCTGAGAAGTTTTAATGGTTCTACAGGCTTTTCTACCCAAATGTTCAGTACCGTAGGCTGTGGTTTTCAGCAGCCATTCTTCTGACATAAAGAAAATCGACACTTCATACTGACTGATGCCTTACTCCGCTTTCTGGCGTTGGTGAATTCCTTTCTTGGCCACCTAACTCACCTTGCATTGGATGTGGAGCTTCACATTGGTGTGCTAGTGTCTGTGAAGGGTGTGTTGGTTCAGTGTAACCTTGTTTCTTGGAATTTGCAGCCATGGACCACTTCTGTCAAACATTTAGTTTGGGGTAGGCAATACTCTTTTGTTTGTTTTTCAGCATATTTGTTATGAAAGTTACTGACAAATACAGCAGTTCCTTACCCCATGGCTGGGTGCAGGCTAACAACCAGTTTACATTTTGACACTGAAACATTGCCTCTCACTCACACAAAAAAATACGGATTTCAGACTAGCTTTTTGGCAACTGCTTCCTTTTCAAAACAAGAATTACAAGTAATCTTTCTATCAGGAAAACTAAGGAATTGTGTAAGAGATTCGATTTAAAGAGAATTTTTCCATGTTTTTTCCTAGTACTACAATGACTATGGAGATATCATTAAGGAAACCCTGAGCAAAACAAGGCAAATTGATAAAATCCAGTGTGCAAAGACACTCATTCTCAGTTTGCAACAGGTAAGAATATTGATTTTTGTTACAAATGCCTCACTGCAAAAAATACTGGACAGGATTTTCTCTGATGCAGCAAAAATACTACACTTCTGTTGAGAGATTATCTTGCTCCTCAGTTCAGGCTGTCACTATTCATTTGTCTCAGTAATCTCTGTCTCTGTAAACCCACATTGGCAAAGTTTTGGTCAGATTAAAATGGAAAAAGGGAGAGAAGAGCCTGGAAGGCAGTTTGGTGCAGGCAGGTTCATAGCGTTTGTTTACCTAGTGAACAAGAAGAATTAGGATGACTTTTTCTTCTTATAATTACCTGGAAGTAATGCATCTTCTTTACATTTTATCTAAATACTGATTGATTTTTTCAAACTTCAAGCTAATTAGTTTAAGTCTTCCAATATTGTTAAACATGTGTTTTTCCCCTGAAAAATTTGCTTTATGTCAACCATAAATTATTGGCTTGATGATTGAACCCATCCTTGTTCTGCCAACAGCATGAGTGTGTGCTCACTAAGTGAAGTTTAGGCCCTTGAAGCACCAGCTGTATCCATGTGATAGAGAAATTACTGCTGTAATTGGATGTTTTCAAATCAGCTGGGCCTCCCAAATTTCGTTCCAGAGTAGTAAGGGATTTATTTCCTGTAGCAATCTGAAAGCTGAGATGTACCTGTGAAAACTTAAGAAAACCAGCTGTACTTCCAGAAGAAGCGGCGAGCATCGAAGTAGTTCCTGTCCTCAAAATTTGGAGAGAGGAAGAAGCCAGGTGCCGTAGATCAGTCAGCCTGATATAATTTCATGAAAAAAAAAATAATTGGAGAAGCTATTTGCAAGTGCCTAAGTGATAGGTAACAGCCAGTATGAATTTGTCAAGGAGAAATCATGTCAAATTAAGCTGCTTTTGTTAATTCTACGGTAACGGGGCTTGTGGATATCAGAGAAACAGGAGATGTGATGCAGCTTGATTCCACATTGTCACTGACACTGTCTCCCTCGATGTTGAGGAAAACGGGGTCTCAGTGGCAGTACCAGGGGAAGGTGTAGAACTGGTTGGACAACAGCTGAGTGGTTTGTTATTGCACTGGAGGGGCGTTACCAAGCAGGCTGCGAAGGCATTCACCCAGTGGTGCTCTTCTGATCATCATTGAGTCTTGCACGGTGAAATACCAGTTTGCTTCCTAAATTCAAAGAAGACGCTGATCTGTTGGGTGATGTTATTCAGTGTGGGTGTTTGAGAAGACAGCGTAAGAATGCAGAACCACCTCGATGAGCTGTGAGAAAAATCGATGCGGTTCAGTGAAGGTAAGTGTGAAAGTTACCGTCTGCTCAAGTACAGGATGGGGGACAACTGGCAGACAGCAGTTACATGGAAGAAAGTCTGGGAACTGGATTAGAACCCAGCATTTACATCTCTGTGAAAAAAAAACATTGTAAGGTCCACTCGTAGCTGTAACAGGTTAAGAACAAAAGCCTTTCTCAAGAAAAGTGTTTTCTAGCTCCCAGATTTTAACGATGGAATTCCTTCTCTAGCTGTTCAATGAGCTTGTTCAGGAGCAAGGTCCCAATCTGGACAGGACATCTGCCCATGTCAGTGGGATTAAGGAGCTGGCCCGGCGGTTTGCCCTCACTTTTGGCTTGGATCAGATCAAGACCAGAGAGGCTGTGGCCACACTACACAAGTGAGTGGTGGTAAATAAACTAGATTTTTATATTACTTCAGATTAAAAGTTGTGCTCAGCATGCCTTTTCGAAAGGTACATAATCTTAGCAGGTCCTGGAATAGTGACTTTTTTTTCTAGTTTATGTAGAAAAATGGTAGGGGGTGTGCATGCGTGTATGTAAGAAAGGAGGAAAAACTAGCTGCTGCCTGAGTATTTGTTGGGTTTTATTGGAATGGCCGTGTTTATCCATCTCAGGTGAAGCCACTGGTATTACACGTTTGTGTGGATTGTATCTAACAACTGGAGATAGTTCTTTGCACCACACCTCTGTGGATTCTGGAGGCACCAAGGGCTTTTATAAAAAGATAGCCCAAAAATACTTTGAATGTCTTTTTTTTTTAAGTGGATTGAAGCTTTTTATGCGACCACTGTGTAAGAAAGTGTAGGAAGGTGCTGCTAAATTTAAATTAGGACTTTCCCATGCCATAAGAAGATTAAAATATTAAAGTTTGCTATCTCAGAGCCTAAGTCATTAAGACTAAGATGAGCAAAGCGTGATCAAAATGCTGCCTGACACTTTCCTGTGACAAATAAAAGAGAGGTCAAGACATGCATGCGCCCTTATTGGATAATGTGAAGGTAAATTGTTTTCTTTAGTCTCAAATGATAAAGCAGAGATAAGGCAGATGTATCGATGTACTGGTAAGTAATTATTTCCTGTGACCCTTGATGCAAAGTTCTGTCCTGTTCTATCTTACGTATTATTCTTACTGCAAGCTTCTGCTTCGTGCAGAAACAAGGAAGAGCCAGTTGGCTGCTCCTGCTAAGGCAGCGGCTTTCGGCACTTGCCGAGTTTCTTAGGTTGTGGTAAGTTCCTTCTGACCATGCTACTGGCAATCTGTTGTCTTTGAGATGGAATCCTCACAGATCAAGAGGGAACATTTAGTTCCCCTTTGTCCGAAGGCAACTGTTGTCCAGTAATGAAAAAAAAAAAAAGTTATGATGGGATATAAAAATATAAAGAATTTCATCACAGTTCAGATTTAGGGCAACATGTTTTTTATTTTGTTACAAATGTGTGAAAATTTTAATATTTCTTTACTGTAGAGATGGCATAGAGTTTGCCTTCAAATATCAGAATCAAAAAGGACAAGACTATCCACCTCCGAACCTTGCTTTCCTTGAAGTGCTTAGTGAATTTTCATCTAAACTCTTGCGACAGGACAAAAAGACTGTGTAAGTTCTGCTCTGTTTTCTCGGTGGGTTCTGCTGGGCTCTGTTAAGCACTGTAGTGTGTGTTCAAGCTCTCTGCTTTGAGGTTTCCACAAAACAGGGGCCGTAGTGAGACACTTCGCATACATAGTTATTCATCAGTTTATATTTTAAAGTAAGAAAAATAAAGGAGAAAAGGAGAATCAGATCTACTGATGAGGTGAGTTTGAGACCTCACAAAACAATGTTCCTTAAAGTTTCCCACGGGGCACTGAAAATAAAAACCAGTCTTTTTTACACAGTGGAAGGAAAAATAAATGAAATGTTAGCAGTGCAGGAAATTCACAGGCCTGTGAACACGGCAGTGCCATCTGTTTCTGTTGGGTATTTACGTAAAATGTAAACATGGCTTCGTTGTTTATTTTAATATAGTGAGTTAAACTGGGAAATAAAGGTTTCTCAAGGCTTCTGTTACTGGCACAATGGGATAGAGAGAGAGGCTGGGCGAAGACACTCTTGTTGGTTAGGACAGGCTGGCAGAGAGCTGGCAGGCTGAACCGAGCACCTGAATTTGATAGGTGGGTAACTACTGCAGGTGAAACAATGGGAGTGAAACAAATCAGAGGTATTGTTGATAGGAACTGAATAAAGAGCAAGAAATAATGTTTTACAAGCAAGAGAGGCTGTGGATGTCAACAGAATTGGCAAAGAGAGCACTGCATTATTAAGGGCAAGTTCGTAGTAAAGACATGCTGTCAGCATCACTGCCGAGATAACCCTCCACATTTCTAATCAGTTACGTAGCAAATATTCAGGATTTGGCCACAGCACAGTGGTCGTAAGGGGAAAAGGAAGAGGACTCCAGTCAACAAGCAGCCAAGCACTGTGCTCAGTGTGGAGCTGAATTCTTTGAATAACTTTGAGCAGTTAAAAAATGCTGTTGCCAAATCTTCTGATTTATCGTTATAGGTATCTTTCCAGTCCATTTTCTGACCACAGGGAGTGTAAGTCATATGCATCTACTGTAACTACCTCCACTGACTCTTTCTGTTAAACTTCCCTGTAGTTTTTCTGTGAAGACATTTGTTTTAAGGGGCTTTTCTATTAAGGTTAACAAATATGAACAGTATAGCTTTATCTGTGTTGCAAGAAATGCATCTTGGTTCATTTTGTATAATTTTTCATGTATACACACTTGAACCAATTCACTTTTTTAATTGTGTCGATAATTTGTCAATTCAGCAAATACAGCAGAAGTAGTTAAACAAGCTTGAGAATGGGATGATCATAGAATCGTAGAATCACAGAATGGTTTGGGTTGGAAAGGACCTTAAAGCTCATCCAGTTCCACCCCTGCCATGGGCAGGGACACCTCCCACCAGCCCAGGTTGCTCAAAGCCTCATCCAGCCTGGCCTTGAACCCCTCCAGGGATGGGGCATCCACAGCTTCCCTGGGCAACCTGGGCCACTGCCTCACCACCCTCACAGTGAAAAATTTCTTCCTAATGTCTAGTCTAAATTTACCCTCTTTTAGCTTATACCCATTACCCCTTGTCCTATCACTACCCCCCCTGATAAAGAGTGCCTCCCCATCTGTCCTGTAGAGATGGGGAGATCCAGATGGGCTGTCTTGGCACTCAGTTTTTGGAACAGATCTTCCCTGTTATATCTGTGAATCTTGTCAGCTTCTGTCCTATTCTTCAGGACAGGACTTAAGGATAGTAGGATTTTATTCCTATCTTCCTACCCGAACTGTAGATTTTCCTGCATCTGTTAGTTTAAGTGTCATTAGCCCAATGGCTGTTTAATTTAGTGAAGCTATCCTTCCTGTATAGTCGTCATCCCTTCCACACGTTTCTCCCATGTCTAACAGTTAAAGTTACATTATTCTGCACAGTGTACATGTCAGCTGAATTTGACCTGATCCTTTCCCTGAAATTCAGTACTTCAGGAGATCGCGTTCTTAACCCTTCTGTGTTGCCATTTAAAATCTTTTCTTAAAGGTTCTCCTTCCCCGCTCGTTGGTGCCCACACACACAACCAGGACTGCAAAGATCGCTGCATGGAATCCATCTCTCCTGTTTTAGCTGTCTTTATTGCAGTCACATGGACTTTCCACTTTAGCCGAATTCTAAGATCAGCAAAAAGAAATAGGCCCTTTAGGGCATGATTTATCTGATCTGTGCTAAATGACTGCTAAGACAAGTTCAGAGGTGCCCTGGATTCCATGGGCTGCGGTGCCTGTGGAAAGAGCCATGGTAACTCGCTGATGTGTAAAGACTTCTGTTGGAGATCCCTGTGTTCCTTCCCTGCAGAGATCTGTCCTGTCTGCGCCCCCGGGCCATGGGCTGACCTTACACCCTGGCCTCTGCTCCGGAAGCTTGATTTCCCACCTCTGTAGCACGACTCCCCCAGTCCCAGGGGGGCTGCCTACAGCAGGAGGTGCGTGACCCCCATCTGCTGGAGAACTCCTGAGCGCAGATCATCCGCCTCCCTCCTGGCGTCACCTCCTCCTGCCCAGTGGCTGTCCCTGAGCTCAGCAGTGGGCTCCTGTGCTCTAGAATAACCCTGAAAGTCCCATGAGTGGAGAGCTGCCCATCTCCCAGAGATCCTCCAGCTTGGCTTCCCAACCCAACAAAAAAAGAATTTTCTGCTTGATGTGTCTGCATGTGTCCTCTGCCCTTGGTGCAAAATACCAGTGCTGTTACAGCTCAGCAGCCGCTGCTCTTTCGCAGGGCTCCTGCTTCCCTCCTGCTTTGCAGCTGGCTTTTTCAGTTGGAAGGAGAAAAGTGAGGTGTTTCCAGTTTGGGGCAGCAACATTGTTTTAATTTCATTTTCCTGTCCTATTTGTTTATTCAGCTTCTTGTTTGATGAGTAACCTCCGGAATCAGTGATAGCCGTTTATGGATTTATTCAAATCTGTGGATTTAATATAAGGTGTCAGGCTCTTACACTTAGCAGAAAAAAATTCATACTAGCACGGTTACAAACACTCGAGGCAGATGCAGGCAGGGAAATCCTGAGGAATTATCTAATGCAGTACAGAGGAAACTGCCCTGTGGAGGCATTTATTTCCATTTATTTCTTTCAAATAGAGACTGTTAGTCAGGACAACTGACTGTTGGGTGTCTAGAGTCAGATGAGATGGAGTCCCAGCGTGGTGTTCTGACTTCTAGAAATTCAGAGTTCCATCCTCGTTGAAGCTGGCAGCAGCTGCCAGTCTGAAGCTCCTCTCAAACGTGGAGCAAAAGGCGGCTGAAGTTGAGCATCTCATCAGTAAAGAATCCCCAAGGGGTGTCGTTTTTCCTTCTTCACAGTTTGGGCATAAAACCTGTGCACTCTGGTTTTATGAATATAAATTGGATGCAGGAGAAGTTCTTACTATTCTGCAGATGAATCCTCTAAAGTCATGAAGCACTGGGGTGTTGTACTGCTTGGTACTGGAGAAAAGAGAGAATAAACCAAGGGTTTCCCATTCAGCACAGGTTTGGGTGTTAGTGCACACACGGAAAGGGGAAGGAAGAAGCAGCCGCAATATATAAAACAGGAGACAGAAAAACTGCTGTTTCTTGAGCAAAGTCACCCCATCAGGGAACCAAACCAAAACCCCATGACAGAGTGGATGTGTGGGTTGTGACCCAGCTCTACAGCGTGGCTCGTGTCCCATTCTGATCCCAGGCTGGGTAAGAAGCCTGAGCCTGGCGTGAGCTAACCGGGGAAAAGGGAGATGGAGAGTTCCTTTCCGTGCAGAATCTGTGGGTTTGACTCCCCCTGATGACAGCCTGGCAGTGCGGCGTTACATGAAATGCTGATGGCAGGGTGCACCCTCGTGTGTTTGCAGGAAGGGTAGAGGTGATGTTGAAGAATCCTCAGGTCTCTTGTCTAAATTCTGAATGCTTGATTCTGCAGCTTGAAATTCATTAGAATCACTTTTATGTGGATTTGCATATTCATTTTAAGGACTACTTCTAATACCAAAATAAAATAATCAGGGGAAAAAGCAAACCATTCAGCTGCCCTCCAGTCCAGACACAGGAGGGAGGTTGGTTGGTTCCTCCCGTAACTTCACAAGTGTGCGTTTTGACTACTCCATGGTGGTGGCACAGATCTTCCTTTTTTTTTTTTTTTTTTTAAATAACTGCTTGCATTTGAGGACACCATTTTCCTTGTTCCAAGATGCAGGAGGATATCCTCCATCCTCACAACAGTGGTTAGAATTCAGTGTCTGTTGACACAGCAGCAATATATAGAAGGGATTCCTCGCGATGCAGAATAGGGAAGGAATTCACGCAGAGCGTGCTGTGAGTGATCACAGGTAGACGTGGGAGGAAGACACTGGGGAGAGAGCGGTTTTTATTGTCTGTCTGGGAGTAGCCTGGGAATGAGGTGTGCGCTTGTCCGGTCAGCGAGGCACTGCTCTGTCAGCATAGGCCATCAAATTAAAACCAGGAAACACCGCGGGGGATTTGTGTTGAGCTCTCAACAGTGTGAAGAGGGCTTGCGGATTAATTAAAAAGGAAACACTGTGCTGCACCTCCGCACTCATTGTCTTCTATTTCCAGTCACTCCTACTTAGAGAAGTTCCTGACAGAGCAGATGATGGAAAGAAGAGAAGATGTGTGGCTTCCGCTCATCTCCTACAGAAACTCGCTGGTTACGGGTGGCGAAGATGACAGGATGTCTGTGAACAGTGGAAGCAGCAGCAGCAAAGCCTCTTCAGTGAGGAATAAGAAAGGACGACCACCGCTCCACAAAAAGAGAGTAGAAGGTTTGTATGGCTCTAGGTTGCCTGGTAGAGGCATTTTTTGTACACATATCCCAGCCTTCCTTCTTAGAAGCCCTTGTGGTTTATCAATTAATGCTGAAATACACGCTGTGTTCTGTATGTAGTAAAAACAAGACATCTGTTCTGCAAAATCCTGTCGAGCTTGAACACTTCTGTGTGGGAGATCCCATCGCAAGTCCCTGTTCTTGTTTGTCTGCACTGAGATTTGCAGATTTACAACTATTAAAAGCTGTTCTTGAAGCTGGACACAGGAGGAGTTTATGGAGTTATCTGCTCTACACCTTTCTCGGTCACGGGCTCCTGGTTTTCTGCCTGTGCTTCAGTTGGAGCAGTTGTTAATTAAGAGGGTGGAAGAGCAAACCCAAGGCAGAAACTCTGTTATAGATCTGTATTGCAGAGAACACGAAGAAGACACCTTGTGTTGTTTAAAATGGTATTGATATCCAGTGTCTGCATTTGCTCTTTTTGTGATGTTGGGTGTGTTTATCAGGAATTGGGCTACGATAGCCTACTTCTTCCAAGCCTGCTCCTGTTCCTGGTTCATCTGTGTGATGCAGTGTGTACGGCTGTGAACTCACTGTCACTGCAGAGCAGGTGTAAGTGGGATCTTTAAACTTCAGGGATTTTTCCAAGGCCAGTATCTACAAAACTAACTCCTCAGTGAGGAATGTAATGCCAATTTGCCTGAGTATAGAGCAGTTTAACAAAACATTCTTAAAAGATTTGTCCATACACACTTCTGCAATGGGGTCCATTCTCCAGTACAGCTCATGTTGAGCAGTACGTGCACCAAGCCCTTCAGTTTCTTACAGCCAGCCTAGAGTTTAGATAGGTAAAGTACTGCTTCCTTTCTTCAGACACTGTTTTGCTTCCTTCAGGATGCCATATTTTTCACGGAATTGGACTGATGAGGTTTTTTTCTTCCTTCTTGTTACTCTTTTCATTCTATTTTATTCTACTCTACCAATATCCTTTTTTTTTTTTTTTTTCCTCCTGGGAAGTGTGGTAATGTCTTTGCTTCCCCATAAGGCAAGTCTCAGTCTTACAAGAGGATTTATCACATTGTTTGCCTCATTCTTTTTCATGTCCTCCTCTTCCAATGATCAGTAGAAGGGAGAATTTACCTGCAACACTTCACATTTGAATGTCCCCTCTCTTTGTAACAGCTGTGGTCCTGAATTTTCCACAAACATCCCTGTCATCAGGAGACACCCAGGATTTCTCTCACCTCGGGCAGATTGCTCTAATGTCACTTGTAATGTAAGCACCTAAAGTCCTTGTTTAAACATGTGTTGATACAGGACATCTGATACCACATATCAAAAAACCCCGACAATAACATAACCAGTCAGAAGGACACCACATACTTAATTTTTGGATGCTCCTTGATGTGCAGTAGGCATTACTGATAGCATTATGCCCCAAGTATACTTTCTTCTGAATCTTGGAAAAAGGAAAACCAAGAAAACCTGGAGCCAGGTGTCTGTATCTTTCGCAGGAAGACAGATATTTCTGTCTTATTTTGTATGTATCAGTAATGAGCTCATCAAGTGATCAGAGATTTAATCCTCAGAAATAAGGACTTACTGTTCGCTTGTCTGTATAACGTGAGCTGCGGAGGAGCAGCCGTAACAAACAGCTGTTTGCCTGCGATGGTCTGTACAGTGGTGTGTGCACAGGTCTTTGCTGGTTTCTTACCTTTACATATTTCTATAACTCTCCCAAAGGTCCTGGCTTTCATCTTAATCTGGCGGTGCAGTTACAAATGCGGACTTCTCTAAATCCTGCTAAGATTTTTTTTTTTTCTTTAATTTCCACTCTAGTGGAACTAAGACAAGGGCAGGATCACTGCAAAAATGATCGTTGCATCAAAGAACCATAACTAGTCCTCTGTGGTTCCCTTCTCACCTAAATCCAGCGTGTGTCGGGTGCAGCAGACTGTCCGTGTTGGAGAGTGTTTCCTGTTGCTACTGAAAATCTGCTCTGTGACATTTCTTCATAATGCCTTAAGCAAAGCAAACATAAATTGGATTTTTAAAAAAATCTCTAACATTATAAAAGGTTCAAAGGTAAATTCAAGAACAAATAGGCAACTTTTTAGACAACCTGAAGGGTAATCGAAGGCATAGGAAAAATGAAAAGATCCATTGAGATCCCCATCGACTTTCTCACCGCGCTTTTCTTCCTGTTAGCAGACGTGTGATCTTGTCTTCTCTCTTGTCATCTCCTCTGTCTTTCACTTGCTTCAGCAAGTAACTTTTTTTTTTCCTACGTGTCTACGCACTTGTCTGCTCTGTCACATTCTCCTCAGGTGCCCTGTCCTGCTGCCTCTCTGCTCTGCTCCCTTCACCATGAGTGTCCCACTTAGACCGGTTACTGAAGTTTCTAAAGATCTGTGCTGACCAGATTTGGGGTTTCATCCTCCACCTTCATCTTAGGGTTTCACTGTATCTTGGTTGCTGTATGAATATGAGATGATTTAAATTGTAAAGTCAGTAACTGGAAATTCTCTTTGCTCTATCTGTGTAAAACACGACAATTTAGGTAGTGCTGCAATACAGTATTCATTTCCAAGGTCGGGGAGGGGGGGTGTGTTTGTTAAATATTTCTACTTAAAACTGTTGTTATTGCTGGGAATAGCTGGTAGTAATCCTGCCGTAAAAGAACACAAAATAAAATCAGAGCTGAAAATTTTATCATTTTGAGTATTTATCCAGTTGATGTCTTAAAGGCACACTTATTTTAAAAGACACTAAACTGTTGAAAATCCAATTTGGAGATGGTGCTGCAGCTAAAATTACCTGTGTGGAAGTGTGTCAGTGGCTGGAAGGCTGTAGTTACTGACAGAAGGGTCAGGGAGCTGGCTGAACGAATCTGGAAGGCAATAATACCGCACTGCAGATGATCAGAACTGTGTCAGTAATGTTGAATGTTCTTTTTCTAGATGAGAGTCTAGAAGGCTCATGGCTGAACAGGAGTGAAAACATACATACTCCAGGGACGCTGCAGGCACCACAGCTCACCTCAACTGTCTTGCGAGAGAACACTAGGCAGATGGGAGAGCAGATCCAGGAGCATGAGTCGGAGCAGGGATCTGAACAAGATTTTTTACACAAGTAAGTGTTGGAATTTTGGTTTCAAATACAGTGAGCCAGGCCAATGAGTTGCCTATTATTTACACAGATAGTCTGTGGCTCCATAAAAGCAGCGTTTATTTGCAAAACCAACTGGAAATGTCTTGGCTGGAGATCAGCAATGCTTTGATTATTTTCAGTTCTCAGGAAAAATACGTTGTAATGAAATCGGGGTAGAAATTCCTTGTGTTAAAATTGTCTCATAGCATAACCACGTGATGATGGTTAAATCTTCCTAGTGTTCGTGGCCGCAGGCTGGGTTGAACTGTTTCTCTGAAGACCTGTTAAATGTTCTCACTTCTTTCCCTCTGCCCCGTGACATAGAACAGTTAAGTTTCTCCAGACATCCTAACTGATCTCTTGTAAATTAACTCTTCAGTCCAATTCTGGCTGCTGAGCTGGTAATTCCCGTTTCTGGGGGAGCTGCCTGCAGGCAGTCCTATTTTGCCCTAAATTATATATACTTTTTGTCACTTAACTCCCCTTGGTTATTATCTGTCAGTAGTTTATTTAAGAATAGTCTTCAGATAATGCTATTATGTGCTATTTCTATTAATTTGAAGATACAGAATAACAATACCTGTTTTGGAGACTACTTTTGTAATTTTTATAGCCGAATTTACTAGTCTGATTTATCTGTATAAAAAAGTCGTATTATGCTGGCCAGATGAATCAGGTTTCTGCCACTGCAGTACACTATAAAACAGCCAGGTTGTGCCTCTTGGTTTTCCTCCAGCTTTTGTCCATCGTGTTCTTTCTTGATACACATTCCCCAGCTTCCCAGTTCTTCCTGAATGTGCACTCACCCTGCTCAATCCTAAACTTTACTGCTTCATCCTGCATTCTTTAATTGTAGTATTTTCTCAATAGAAATAACGAATAATGGTCATTCTGCCTGGGATGGTGAAACCTTCTCCAGGCTCAGAGGACAAGGGTGTCTGTGCACCACCACGTTGTACACAGAAGCTATTTTAAAGGTTGCTGGTTTGTGACCATCGGTTCTCTTCTTCTTGTGAAGCAACGCACTCATTTGAAAGCATAAGCTGTCCTCCTTCGCTTGTGTGTGCGGTGTGCACGGGCATCAGCAGCGCGACAGGCTAAACCTGGATACGATCCGTTAATCGGTGCCCCCACAGGAGACCCTCACAGCTCGGGAGGTACAAACAGCTGTTAACTTCTGGAGCGCACAGTACATGGCATTTCCATGAACGAGTGCAGCCAGCGTTCTTCCCCACGTTACCCATCACCGTCAGGCGGTGTGGGACAGGGCGCAGGTTGGCGGGGCCACGTCACGCTGCCAGCAGAGGTGCGCGTGGTCCTGCGCGAAGGCCGAGCCTGGGCCGGAGCATTCCCCACCGGCGCTGTCTGGAGGGGAGGTGGGCTGGTGTGTACAGCGTGAGTGCCAGGCCCGCCCAGGCACGGCTTTCCTCACCTGCACGGCTCAGACTGGCAGGCAGTCCCAGCTGGCCAGAACGAGCTCAGCTGAGGAAAAGCCCTGCTCACGGCAGTCCTGGAGTCTCCCTTCGTCTGAATCCCACAGGATGTGAGGTCTGGGTTCACGTCTCTCACGTGCTTGTCTGAGGTCGGGGTTTGCCTCCCCATTTCTGCCTCCCCACATGTTGCCATCACTTCTGGATTATCAGGAAGATGTCATGGCTCTCGATTTCTTCTTAAAGTCTTTCTCCTCTGCAGTAGGAACAAAACAAAGAGAATTGCTGAAGCAGGACGTTGTTCCTGACGCTCTCTGGTCTCACCTGTCCCCAAGCTCAGTCTCTGTGATCATTTCATTAGCGACGGCAGGTGGGGCAGCTCGCAGTCACGGTTCACTCCTGAGCCCCATGGGCAGGTGCTGCCTCAAGCCGTGGGAGAACCTTCCCCTTGCCTGGGGTGAGCTGAGCCAGGCTCTCACCCTGCGCCTCTGTTTCTCCTGTCTCGGATGAGCACTGTGTGCAGAGCACTGCTGGGCGCAGGCAGAGCATCGCTCTCCTCTCTCTGACTGCCAGAGCTGGGTTCCACATACCAGCTCACAGCCGGAACCGACAGCAGAGAATCCTTTCCTTTCAGCCTCGCGTTAGCTGCCCCACGCGCTTCCACATGTCAGCTTAGGAGAGAGAAAAGATAAAATACAGAGCAGTCAGTTGCTGAACAAATGGGGTTAATCGTGTCCAGAAGAATATTTTGTTCCAGGTTGTTTTCACGTGGGTTATCCCAGGCTATTGTGTCAATCTTACTAGTGTACAAGACGGCGCAATAAAATGGAAACTGGTGTTGCTCTTGGAGATCTGCACTGAGTTTACCCCTGTTCCGTTGTGCTGCAATACTCAGCTCATACCAAGCGCATTGCTGTCTACTACTGGAGTGAGGTGGTACTGAACGTGCAGCCGTCCAGCTGTTTGTGTGTGGATCAGTTACTGGATGCTTCAGTTGATCTGCGGATATATTTAAAAGCAATTTGGTTTTCACTGTGTGTGACACTTTTGTTTTAAAATGTGTTAGTTATTCATTTGGATCTATTCTTGCTCATATTTTGCCTGATCTGAGACAGTGAAGTAGGATTTGATAAAATGAATTTGAGAAGCGCTCCCACTTCAGGTGCATGCCGCACTAAGGAATGAGCAACGTGAGTATTTTATCTAGCTGCTTGTATTACAATCATTAATGGATTTTTTTTTTTTTTTTGTGCGCCTACAGTGAGAGGAGAGAAGTTGTGGAAGGGAATCCAGAAGCCATGTACCATGATGGATGTGATTTAGATATCTGAATCTAAAGCACGGCCAGACACAAAATTTGAGGAGACAGATACTGGCTGGAAATAGCCAGCTCAGAATGCTTCATGTTCTCGGTCATAATGCTACTTTATGTTTGTTAGTCCCCAGATGCAGATATCTTGGTTGGGCCAACAGAAGCTAGAAGATTTAAATCGAAAGGACAGGACAGGAATGAACTACATGAAAGGGAGAACTGGCGTACGGCATGCAGTGTAAGTGTCAGAGCAGCCTCCGCTCCCCATCAGAACCATTTCAGATCACAATCCCACAGTTTAAATGTTACCTTTTCTGGGTTGTTGCCAGTAATTTCGGCGACATTTTAACTCCTGTTAAAGGCAGAGCAACACTCACAACATCCGTGCATTGTAACCAGCCGCGGGGCCCTCTAGCCCAGTGTTCTGCCTCTGACCCTGGCCGTAAGCGGGCGCCCAGCGAGCAGGGCAGACCGACACGGCGCAACTCCCCATTACTCTCTCAGCCTTCACCTGTTCCACTTCAGGGGGTTTCTGTGATTTGTCTGTTAAATCTACCCCAATGAACCCTTCCATGTTGCTGTCCACTCTTCCTGTGAACCTGTTCAAGCTTCTTTTATCCACGTCATCTGCTGCCAGGGCGTCCCGCTGGGCAGCTAACGCAGGGAACGCGCGTGGGTGGGGGCTAAAGCGTTCTGATGTGCTCTGCTGCCAATCTAACCGCGTCCTTCAGCACAAGTCCTTTTCAGGAGGGAGGGGCAGAGTCTTTAGCAAAACCAAGTCCTTACAGTGTTAGCAACTGGAATTGGATTCACTGCTGGATTCCCAGGGATTTAGCAATGATCCTGGCAAACAGTGTAACTCCTTTTTGTAACAGGGCAAGCAGACACAGGGAGGTTATTGCCCTGTGCTTGTAAGGCACAAATTTAATTACTATTGATAATGATATTACATGGGATTTCCTGCTTTAGCCTCTGCAAGTGCTACATTTGGTTTTATGTAAGATTTTCTTCCAGTTAATATTGCAGAAAGCACGCTGGCCTTATTCTCAGCATAATGTTTTATGTGAAGGCATTAAGGGATAGGATTTGTACATTCTTTTTAATGACAAAGATTGTGGTTGGGAAATTTAAATGCTTGGGAATGACATTTCCTTGCTCTTTATTTAATCAGACGAGGTCTAATGGAAGATGACGCTGAGCCCATCTTTGAAGATGTAATGATGTCCTCACGAGGCCAGCTAGAGGATATGAATGAAGAATTTGAGGACACAATGGTCATTGATCTGGTCAGTAAATCTTACTAATAGCAAGTTTAAAATAGATGAAAGATAATTTAAAAGGAATTTTGGAAGCTCAAAACCAAAAATTGCCATAACTTTGAGCCTGATTTCCTGTTGTCTGAACATTAAAGAGTGGAGATGATCCAAATGCTCCCTGGAAGCCACAGCTGCAGGCTCAGGCCCAATTGATTTTCACAGAAACACGAGGACTGTTGCTGAGCACTCTTCCTCTCTAACGTTCTGGGCTCAGGCAGTACAACGTGCCAGGAGCACCATCATGCACCTGGGACCTGGCAGCCTCTGAGAAGTGGGTGATGATTTTTAGCATTCCCAGGTGTGTTGTGCGGCGCTCAAGAAGTGGCTGATCTGGCACCATGCAGGCAGCCACGGGCAGGAGGAGTGCTGGGGGGGCAGAGGGGAGACCAGCTCACCCCATCCCATTATCACATGAGCTGCCTCAGGAAGGACTAATGGACTCTAGACTCCAGCAACAACGTTTGGTTCAGGTTGCTGGCTGCCATTCTGCAGTGTCTGGAAGCAGCATCCCCTAAGGGTGTTCCAGGTGCTGGGGTTTCCCTGTGCCGTTGTCACTCACTCTTTGCTGACGTGGCTCTTTATGCAGCCACACTGCAGTCAGACTGGTCCAGTTGTGCTGTTTCTCCATTCCTGGCTGGTTTGAGTTCTGGGAGGTGGGGTGCAGAGGGGATCCGTAATCCAGGGCTGGTGAGCTGACAGCAGCACGCGGAGTTGTGCTGGCACAGAAGAGGGGAGGCAGGCAGCAGTGGGCAGGCGTGAAGGGATGCTGGAATTGCTCCCAGCCAGGTCCCATCACCAGATGGCAACCTTGGGTCCTTTCACGGTGACATACTGAGGACAGGCGATTTCCTTTGTAGAGGTGATAACCTCACCTGCCACTCCCTTCTGAATGAAAACTATCCGTGTAAAACAGGGAAAAGGAGCAGTTTGCATTATACATGTCACCCTCTCCAAGCTCTCCGATTTCTCCTGTCGTATCCAAACAATAAGGCAGAGGTTACTTTAGGACTGGGCCAAAATGTCTTGGAAAGAAAGTTTAGGCAATGGTTCAGTTGCTGCTGCTGAATACTGAGGTTATTACTAGCATTCAAACGATCATCAAGTAAGTAAAATGTTTTCTTTTACTGGCAATCCAAGGCAAGGAAACGAAGGAACTGATCAAGCCAGCGAAGCTCACGTTTATTCTTACATTCCTAGAGGAGGGCAACACAGAGGGTTGAATTCTCAGAAATATTATGGAATCTTAAGTATAATATTTTCTAAACCCATTTTTTGACCATGTCAGAGCTGAAGTTTTACCATAAACCTAAAAGCATGAAGACAGTTAAAAGACAGTTTTTATCCAGCCTGCCCTACAGTCTTAATACAAGAACATCCTTAAATCAGCAAGAGCCTTAAGCAAGTGGTTAGCTAAGAGCACAGACTTAAAATTTCTTCCAAATCCATCAGCTTTTACCCCATTCCTTAAACAAACACGAATTTACACAGTACTCTCCTATGTCAGGGCCTCCGTTTCTATCAGAGCTTTCACAGCACCCCAGGCACAGCAGCTCTGTAAGGGAGAGGGGAGTTAGTGCCCGTTAGCGGTAGAGCCACGCGAATCCTCTCCACCCAGGTCACTGAGGTGATGTTCTAAAACGGCGACTCCTCTTTCTAGCCACCGTCAAGAAACCGGCGAGAACGGGCTGAGCTGAGGCCAGACTTCTTTGACTCCGCAGCTATCATTGAGGACGATTCAGTAAGACTTCACTCGTATTCTTTGCTGTTTATCTGAGGTTCCTCTTTATCATCGTTACCCATAATTAATCACTGTCTTTTAAATCGTTTTTCCAGGGATTTGGAATGCCTATGTTCTGAAGTCTGGTGAAGACATTTTACAAATTTGGAACTCTATTGTTTAGAGCTAGAGGCCTATATACTGTGATAGCTTGTATGAAAACCACATTTTTGATGTGATACGGTTTGATTTTTAACCAAATGATTGAGGTCAGTCCCTTTTTGTAGTGACAGAAAGAAGAGGAACTTCTTAATGACAAAGGAATGTTGGCCAATCCCATCACCTCAGAAGGGCTGACCTAAAAAATCATTTGTATCCCTGTTCTTGACTGTCCTAATACAGATATTTTTTTTTTCTGGATGAGGAGGAAGTTTTAAATTGTTAAGACAGCTGTCGAAATAAACACTGTTCTACATACGTTTTCTGAAAACAACATTGAGTGAAAACAGAACTTTTTAACTTTATTTTTCTGCTGTACAATTTAAAACAGTTTTAACATTGCCTTTTTATGTTTTAAAAGCTAGCCATTTTTATTAAACCTATGCCTATCAGCCATTGACTAGCAATGATGCTATAAGCAGGTCATTCTGGCTACAGAAAAGTGTTTTTGAACACACTGGATTTGATTAACATTATGGTACGCGTATATCCTCTCCTAGGCATTGAGAAGAACACTCTCATAGAAGAGGTTAGAATTCTAATGATGTGCATCTCTGCCAAAAAATTTCAGATTCTGATATGATAAACCCAGATTTTATACTCTTGAGAAGATTTATTTTTATTTATAATGGGACATAAAGTAAGAGATGTCCAAGAAGCCACTTTTCCAACAGATGCTGTGTAACATTCATTTTATATAGCACATGGGGACACAAAAACAGTAAATTTTCTATTGGTACTTGCTCTGTGCATTTTTAGCAACTTATACCAGCAAATAAAGTATTCTCAGTAAAACACACAAATGGTTCTCAAGTAATCACTTTGCTGTTTTTACTACCTACTTCAAGCCCTGCCAGCCCAAGGTACATAAACAGCAACTTTCCTATTAAAAAAAATAGTTCAAGGGTGGGGGAAAGGAATCACTTTAGCATACTAAAAGCAATTTTAACTGTACCATAAGAAAAGTCTACTTTCCATGCCATAAATACCCTTTTGCGCTATTTTTGTAAATTAATTTTGCCAGTTAGAAGTACTGTATGTGCTGCATAGAAATTTGTGCTTAGATGGTGAAGTTCTTAAGCTTACAATGGAGTACAGCTACATTTTCAGTGTTAACTGTGCATATTAAGAGTAATTCTTTGGGAAAAAAAAAAAAAAGATTTTTCAAAAAAGTTAAAAATGTCCAAAAAAACCCCAAAAACCCAAAACATTCTCAGCTAATTCATTGTAATAAGAGATTTTTCAATGTCTTCAATAATTTGGAATTTCATTATGCTTCGATTTTATGACTCTGCCTAGTAGCCGCTACTTAGTTAAAACTGGCCTGATATCAGAGGTGCTGGCCATCCACAACTTGCACTCACTCTTGGATCTCCAAGAACCAGCCCCAAAATGTTAATCTTCCTTTCTGCATTCTGATGTTAGCTTTTGAGATACAAAGCAGACTGACACACTTGGAGCACAGCAGTTTTAGAGGTGCTTTTTTTTAGCAACTGCAAAATAATCATGGAGTTTTTTTTTCTGTTACAAGCTTACTGAAAAACAAAACAACATTAGTGCCCAGTGCTTACTTGCTGGGAGGGAAATGAACCTAATTTTAAAAACAAACCAGCATTTCACTCAGCTGAGGTTTGTTTCTTACAACATGTGCAGTTCTCAGACATGGTTGCCAAAAATGTTTGACTAGGTAATTCAGCCATTCCTCGGATGTCGGCTGGGTAACGTATAAAACCCAAGAAGTATCTGGAACTTTATAAAATAACATTACCTGCCTTCCTCTTCTGTAATGGGGGAGGCAGGAATGGCTGCATTAAATTGTCATCACAACGATTCTGTGAGCATAGTAGCATCATAAATGCTGCCTGGTTTGAGTCATAGTCTCAGACGAACGAACCTTGTGCTTCACAGTCCTCTGTGTGGAAAACTGATTCCTAATTTAACATTGTAGAATACTGTATAACAAACATTTATTATCACGGTACCTGACATGGGTTTCCAGTTCAGTTTGCAGTCGATAGGTTTTTTGTATTATGAGTGTCTCCTTGATTGGTTTTGCTAGTAATTCTGTAAATTGTACATTTACAATATGAGGTTTTTTTTTTTCCTTTTGTACAATTTAAAACTGATGCTTCACCTTTCATTTAATAAACTATTCAAAATCATGAGTATGATGAGCACCCTCTTCACTATAACTTTCTTTTAAATGCTTGTTTGGACCATCACATCTTGTCATCCCATTTATTAGTAGTAAAGGAAATACTGAAACTGAGGTAGTTCTCGCATAGTCCAGGCTCCACAACCAGATTCCGTACGGCCACCTTACCTCAGCCTCAGAGCAAAGGGGGTCTTTTTTTCACCCCCCCTACCTCCCCACTGTGGTGTATTTGGGGTTTTGGTTGATCTGGGGGGGGGTTTACTGTGAGATTGCTGTAAATCTGGTAAGTCATCACACACGTTGGGAGAGTTGCACTGTTAAAAATTGTTTGAACTATCACAAATTTTTGAGAAAAATTTTACTCTCCTGCCCCGTATACCTGAAGTGGACCAGACCACGTGGGAAGAAATGGAAGTGATGGAAGTGGTAAAGGTTTGGAAGGTCTAACAGCCAGCTGGGCCAAATGAAGTTTTACGGATTCCTGAAACAAAACATCCTCTGTTACTCACATGTCTCAGAGAGAAAGGTGCTATTTTTGGCCAACCCATGAATTATTTCATCTCTGTAGCACTAAAGAAAACTGACTTATTTATCATCTGGCCCACTTCGTAAAGAAAAATCATCCCAGGCAGAAAAAAGCATCAAGGTGAGGACAGGATTCAAGATCTGAACTGCACCCTAGGACTACTCCTTGGACACAGCCCCCGTGCTAAACCTACAACTGCTTGTAAGTTATGCTCAACTCCTGATGCACTGTGGAACACAGTAAGTAACTTGTCGTGCTTGTAAGTTCAAGGGCTGCTCCCTCTGTTGAAAGGATTTTATTTTATATCTGTTGTTTCTGCAGGTGACTGGAATTCAAGGGGATCTGGAGTGGTGGGGCCAGAGCAGCTTTTGCAGTGTGCTTCCAAAGGGGTGTGCTGGTGGAGCAACTGACTGCTTGGAAATCCAGAGCATATAAAAGCCAAATTCTTGTGCTGACAAGGGACGGAAGAAGGATGAAGTCTAGAACTAATCAGGTTAGGAAACAATTAAGGTTGTACTTTTTTTCTTTGGGACAATGACAACTGGGTTTCTCATTTAGTGTCTCCTCCTGACTCTGAGCAAGCTGAAGAACTATGCGCGTATCGCTTCCCTTAATGTGGCTTTTGCCTCGCAACTTGGGACAGGCGCCAGCCACTCTCTCAGCTACTAGTTACCTTTGAAAAATCCTCTTGGCTCTCACAACGTCCAGCTACACCTTTTCGCACACTAAGACCTCCCTTGGTGGCAATGACCCCCAGCACAGTGACAGGGCAGTTTTACCTTCCCAGGCTGCAGCCAGCTCTGTTCCCTGGGCAGAGCACACAGCACCCGCTCAGTGCTCCTGATGAGATGGGAGGTACGCTCCTGCAGCCGGGACAGCCAGGACGTGGGTAACCTGAATGCCTTGCCTCTAGCTATTACAAAAGCCTGTGGAGCGGTGACTCATATGTGACATGCTCCTCGGCAGTGTTTTCAGATGATTTCTAGTTGTGGTCTTTGTCCCCCCCAGGTGCAGTCTCCCAGCTCCATGGCTGTGCTCACTACCCACAGGCTGCACCTGCCTGGGAAGAGAGGCTGCCCGGACAGTTGCCATCTCGTCTGTCTTCCACTTCAGGCGCGTGCTTGGGGAGCGAACAGCAGCCGCTGCGGTGTGCAGGTAGGGCAGTTCTCGGTCTTAAAATATAGTGCTGTTAATTACTGAGGTTACTTACAACAGGCAGGTCCTTATAGGACTTCATGTGCTTGGCAGCTGCTTGCAGTAGTGCTGCACACAACGGCAGCCGTTACTCACTGCCTTCCCTGGCTGTAGTTAAAATGCAGCTTCCCATGAGCAGAGTGGGCATGGGCAGCAGCAGGAACATCTGCAGTGGTTCCTTGTAAGTCTGGCAAATAATCTCATTAAAAATCAGGCTGGAAGAGGCCTCTGGAGGTCTCTGTTTCAACCCTCTGCTGACAGAGGAGAGCCCACCACGCTCAGGGAGAAGAATTTCAGTGTCTCACCAGAACTGCGCTCTTTCCAGTTTGGGCGCATTGTCTCTTGTCCTTCAAGAGGAGGCTGGTGCCATCTTCTCCATCCCCCCTGTGCCGCAGCCTGGAGGTCACTGACCTGAGACCCCCAGCATGTCGAGGCTGCAGCTCGGGACAGTCTAGCAGAGGAACAGAACAGATGAGGCTGAGACTGGCAAAGGCTGCGTCCCAGCGTGCTGAAATCCAAGCTCAGGATTTTTCTGTGTCAGTCAGTGGTGCAGGAAGTAGAGCCAGACTCCAAGCGTGGACCCAGGGCTAGACCTGAACTCCACCGGGGTCTGAATTCGCAGCAGTGAGATCTCGCTGCAGCTCTGCCAGGCTGAGCCACCTCCACGGCCCGGGACGCAGGAGCCAGCGGAGCATTTGACCTTATTAACAGCTCACCCCCAGCAGGCATTGCAGGTCGTGGTGATCATTAACCCACCAGAAAAAGGCTTTCTAGAGATGAACTGATAAGACCCCAAATTAAATGAGATACGTACTATGATTTATTGATGGTCATTAGCAAAATCAAAGTAAAGAGAGGTATTTCCATTGCAAAGTAGATCTCCGCTTGAACAGAGAGTAGTTGTGTTCAGAACACTGCTGTGTCTCCCTGCATGGCCCAGCCCCTCCCAGCACTCACAGTGGGATATTGGCGTGTTTCTTCCAGGGACTGGACTGTGCTTTACTGGCCAGCACATCTAGGTCACGGCAGATGCGCATGCGGGTGGTGGAAGGTTGGATGATATCATCAACAAACCCTGTAAAAAAAAAAAAAAAACAAACCAAACAAACCTGACTAACCATGAAGTGTTTGCCTCTCAACCTTCTATATCTGGGTTTTAATGTAAATAAGCAAAATCAAAAGAATATTTGGAATAAACCGTTCACAAGCTACAAATTAACTTTAAAAACCAATTTAAAAAAGCCTGAAAAAGGAAATATCCCTGTGTCAAAGGTTTTTAAATTAGAACCATTTGCATTTTAAATTTTTTAAAGGAGGCTTTACTCACTGAGTACTGCACCTGTTCCTGCAAGTTTTTAGACATCCTGTCTCCTTCCATCTACTAGTATTAGTCTGATTTAGAGGTTCAGAAGTCTTTATTATTAGAGACATCCCTCGACTTTGCAGGTGCAGGAGTCTGTGTGTTTTCTGGCTCAAACAGCAGCAGCAGATGGTCTGCTGCAAAACCAGAGGGAGCAATGCTGTATGTCCTGGCTGCGGTGGAGAGCAGCTTGGCCAAGTCTTCCCAGCTCTGTGGCACTACTGAGGGGATTTAAATGAAGTACAAAACCAATCAACAGAGGAAGCCAGTGTAGCTGGAAACAGAGAGAGCTGACTCCAGAGCCTACAGAACTGCCTTTTAGAGCATAGTTAATGCTTCAAAGCTAGAAGTAAAATTCAAAAGTAAAAACAGTGGAAAAAGTTACTCCAAGGAGTCCCGGGGAACATCACTGAACTGAACCAAATTCTGACCCTTTCTTAAGGCCACCGGTCTGCATCTAGGACTGTCAAAGAGATTGTCAAAGCACCTATACTTTTAAGGAAAAGGCTGATTTTGAGATGCTTTCTAATATCTACAAAATCTAAAAAATGCTTTTCAGTGCAGTCCCCAAATCTCAACAGTCTCCTTCCATCTGAAGATGTGTTTTGTGTCTAGATGTGTTTTTCCTTCACATGCACAAGCTATGGTTACGCATCACCTTTCTGACTCAGATACAAATGTCTTGCCTAACTAACTTACGAGGGAAAAGTTTACTCAATAGCTACAAATTTATCTTCGTGCAATGGCAAACTCCAAGAGGGGACACGATGTGCAAGACAACCATACCTCTTACAGCAGCAGGAAAGGGGTTTGCAAACTTCTCCACATATTCTGCTTCTGCATCTGCCTCTTTTCCTCTGAAGATGATCTGGACAGCACCCTAGAAAGGGAAAGTTTGCAGGTCAGGGACAGTACTTCAGCTGCCTCCTTCGCCCGCCCCCCCCACCCCAGTACACACAGATGTCCAGGTAAGCTGCTTCAGAGACAATGCCCCTTGTCTGCATCTCCCCAGGCCGCCCCTGTGCCGCCGCGAAGGCGTGGATGGCTGCTGCGCACCGGTGCGAGAGTCAGCCCGCATTTACCTTTGCGCCCATCACGGCCACCTCTGCAGTAGGCCAGGCGTAATTCGCATCTCCTCTTAAATGCTTTGAGCTCATCACATCATAGGCACCCCCGTAGGCCTGGAACAAAAACCAAGGGATTAATTACTGTGAAGTGACCTTGCACCAGCAACAGCCTGCGTTCCTCTTGCAGCT